TTAATATTAAAATTATGCATTATTTCTTTTCTATTTATAGAGCTTCTTCCTAAAATACTTTCTCAAATAGGACATGATTTTTTAGCTTCTGAAGCATCTTTTAAATTGAAAACTATAAATCAATTTATAATTAATGATCTATCTGGTCCATTTCAAATTACAGCACCTTTTATTTTAATAGTGAAATACTTTAAATAGTACTTAACTTTCTCTGAATATTTCTGAAAGGGAATAAAATAAGGACTTTTTTTTTTTTTTTTTTTAAATATTATTTAAAACTTTTAACTGAGTTATTATAAAATGTAAGGGAAATAATTCTTTTAATTATATTTATCAGATTTTTTTACCCGTAATTTCAACAATATGAATTACAAAACTCTTTTTTACTTTCTTAAGTACACATCTCATAGAATTTGCTTTACAGTACCTTTTTAACAGATTGCTTTCCAGTATGAACAAGTCTTCCTTAAATAGTTTTATAACATATTTAACAGGATTTCAATTTATCTTTATAATTCAATGTTAAGTTTATTATATATTTAGATAATATTTATAATCATTATAAATTTAGATACATTTAATAATTAGATTTCTTCACAGTAACTTTCACAGTTGTTTATGAATGAATAGATCCTTCATTTCAAATACATTTATAAATAATTTAATAAATATTTACATATTTTTGTTAAAGGCAGATACATGCTTTTTGAAAGTACATGCATAAATACCAATACATATTTCATATTTTTCATTTCAGGCATGTGCAAATCTTTAATTTCTGTGCATTCACTATATTTTTCGAGTAAAGTAATTTACACTAATTTAACATATATCCGAAAGTTTTACATAAGAAATATGTATAAATACAATTTGAATGAAAATTATATGCATTATTGTTAATAACCACTCAAAGGTAAGTTTTTCTTCAAAATTCCTCCACAATGGCATATCGTTCTTTAGGCAGATAGCCCTTGCAAGACTTACTCTATTTAATAAAAACTTAACCTGACCTATGTGCTTAATTACAAATATTTTAACATGTATAATTTTATAATTAAATTTGACCATCAAGTTTCAAACTTTTGACTTAAAACACATTTTAGGATACATTCATCATCAAATTCAAATCTTCTAGTAAATATATTTTGGCAGAGCACTCAATACCACTTTTAACGATTTTACAGTGTTTAATAATTCTCCGATAATATAATAAATAATAACAACTTAAAAAGTACAGGTAACAATAATATGTGGATGTGAAAAAAATGTATTTTATTTAAAATATTTTTGGCGTTTGAAACATAAAATAAAAGTAGCGAATACTCTATCAAGGGTATCGAAAGATGCATACAATTTTAAAGGTACCGTAAGGTATTTTTCATTCTTTAACCATAATATTTTTGCTAAAATCTATATTTTTATAGTTCAACAGCTTAGAATTTTATAAAACAAATTCATAATCAAAATTGCTGTTGTTAGTTATCGAAAAATAACCAATATGTGATTTTTGCCTAAATGTCACTAAACTATACAAATTGCTATTATCCATCATGCTATGAATGTTTTTTTATGCGAAAGTGTCCTGTTTTTCGATTTGTATGGAACTGTCATGTGGCAAAATACTATCACAGCATTGTCATGCAAGTATTTGGATGTAAACAAAAAAAAAAAAAAAAAAAAAAAAAAAAAAAAAAAACACCGAATCTGGTGACCAAAGCTTCGGAGCAGTGCTTCACTTCTAGTGCCGGTTTGGTCACTCTTTCCTTTCTTACCTCCATGACTATAGGTAAAACTTTCTACAATTCTTCTCTGGGTCCTGGAAAAGGTTGACGTCTTTTTTTTTTTTTCAAAAAAAAAAAAAAAAAAAAAAAAAAAAGGGGGGGGGCTAAATTAGAGATATTAATTAAAAACTTGGAAAAATTTTTGGCCTTCATTTTTCCAAGTGGGTAACTATCTCACAACCAGGAGATGGAAATCTGCTTTATTTTGAAAGTTGTTGCCACTAATCGCTTTCAAATCCTAGAATCATAAAAGTTCATAAAAAATTTCTAAGTTTATCAATGAAATAAAAATAGCATTGCCAAACATTAAATAAATTATTCCCGATTCCAAAAATTCATGGGAAGCCATTTTGACTATTCCCATCTTCGTTGGACTTTAATCAGCCAAAATATTAATTAAAAACTCTGAAAGTGCTAATTTTTGCACTTATTTTTCCGTGTGGCAACCGTCTCGCGCGTTGGAGATAAAAATGCTTTATTTCAAAAAGTGTTGCTACTGCTCGCTTTCAATTCATAGAGTTTGTTAATCAAAAATTTGTAAGTTTTACAAAATCTATGCATGTAAAGAAGAATGTGTGTTTGTTTGTTCATGTTATTGATTTCTGATCAATTATGATACATTTTACCACATTTAATCGACTAAAATTGAATATAGGTGGAAATATTTGATGGAAACTTTTATGACCATTTAATTAGAAAAACGAAAATCATTAAAAACTGCATGCCATTGTTGATGATATGATGGGAGAGAATTAGCTTATTTTTCTATTAAAAATTTTTAAAAGGGTTAAATATTGCATCAAATTAAAAAAGGTATGACTATGAATCGTATTTTTTGCATCGTCAATAGAGAAGGATTACAGTGGTATCGTTGTCTCTGTTGTTAGATGAATTACTTTCAATCTAACTTAACTGGCATCCGGTACTTCCATTAGTATGCATATATAAATAATACATTCTTTATCTAGTCTTTCTTTACTAGATACTATGCCTATTCAAACCTACTGATTAAGCAGTTTTAGAGCAACCTGAAACATTTTTTCTTAATACGGTTTTTGTAAACAGGTGTGCAAAACAAGAAACTTAAATGAGAGAATCGTACTTGTTTGTACTGGAATTACATATTTGGTAATCTAAATATCATTATTTCATATGCTTTCTATTGAATGAATCAAGTTTTATCACGTAAACCTCTCTGCAGTATGTTAAAAACTAAATATATTTTGATAATAACAACAAAGTTTTAACAAACTGCAACTAGCATGTTAGGTAATTCATAACTATTCATTAACAAAACAGAGAGAGAAAATAAAGGGGGGGGAAGTATAAAAATCTGAAAGCATTGAAGATTTTATATTATGCTAAAAAGGGCTTTTTTAAACGTTTTGTGTTTAAATAATAAAAATTACCTTTATTTAATAAATATCACGTTCTTCGCATTTAAAACACATACAATTCAATTCAAGAGCAGTATCACAAAATATCGTTATGTTTTTTTTTTTTTTTCCTGACACCAGTTGTTACGTTATTTTCTTTCTTCACGTTCATGCAGGGTTCGTGTGGATTTTGAGTGAATAATGACAACACTACTTGATGAAGTATCGAAACACGCTTTATTTTCCAGTAATTATCAGGACAGCTTCAAAATCTTGTTTAAAGTCATCAAACTGTTATAGACACATTGACACGATCAGCAACACAGCTTTCAGATTATCAAGCCATCACGGAAGAGACAGCTTCACTGCAAAGCACCAGAGTACAGCTCCCGACTCTGCTTGGTCTTTCTTAGAACTCCACGCTACAACTTGCGATGCACTTGATGACACACAGAGCACAGCTCCCGACTCTTCGGTTCAGTCGTTCTCAGAGCTCAACATACTCTCTCGATGATGCACTAACAGACGCTTTGATGCACTCGACGATTCACTCGGCACTCGCTGGCTGGCTGTCAATTCGATCGTCTGTGCACAGACTAACTAGATGAGACACTATCTCGCACTTGATGAGGCACACTCACACACTGACTGACTGCTGACCAGCAGTGTTTATGTAGCTTTCGGCTTGTGTTCGAGAACATTCTGGGCTAAATCGGTAAGAATTCGTTCCAGAAGGTTCTCCATCCGTACATGACAGATCGCCAAATGGACGATTTCTTGCCAAATGTGACAACCCTGCCCTCCTTGCTATTTTATGGCAACCCTAAACCTTCTTTGCGGGGATACTATCTCATTGTGGCTGTACATTTCGTAGCAATATTTAAAACAGCATATCTATAATATTTCCAATACACAATCTTGCATGCTGAAGATAATCCCCCCCGTACAGTGTTGCCATTGCTTGCTTTAAAATTGTTGAGTTTATCAAAAATTTAATTAAAGTTTTACAGAATTTGAAATAGATAATAAAACAAATACAAAATTCGGGCTCCTAAATACCCATTTTTGGTGGGAGGACTACATTATTCAAAATTTTATGGTTCTAGGTACCATTTCTTTTTCACAATGTGAGAAACATTCCTGCATTCATGCAGATTCTTTATTATTTAGTTTCTTTGAATATAATACATGGTGATAATATTTGGTGGCAACATTTTGAAAAGTGAATCGACTCAAAATGCCATTTTGAAATTAATAGCCCTTTTGGACTTAAACAAAACAAAACAAAAACAAAAAAAAAAAAAAAAAAAAAAAAAAAACACCCACCACTACAGATTGTAGAATAACATCTTGGAGAAATGTTTACCATTAAAAAAAAATTAGCTCTCTTTCTCTCTTAAAAATAAAATAAATAAATAAACAGAAAAACTCTTGCTATTAATTCCAGAAACTAAATATTGAATACTGAATAAAATTAAATATCAACTCAAAATAATTCAATTTTAAAAGCTTTGCTTCTGCATTTCTTTATACTGCTATAACACTGAAGATAAGTGAAATATCTGACGTATCATTACTAAACAACAGCACTGATTTATTATAAGTGTTATTTATCATGAGCTGAAAGTAATAACATCAAAAATCTGCTTCAAGGTATTTAAAATTTTGGAAAGTATTTAAAAAATTGTGGTGTTATTAAGGTTGGATGGATAGTAAAATTAATTAAATTTACAGATGATTATAAATTTATAAAATGCTCTTACCATGAAATGAAAGCAAAGCTGTCATCATGACAGTAATTCACATAAAATAGCAATGCAAAACAATTAAATTTTTAACTTACGTTTTAGAAGGTGTTTGAGGATCTATATAGCTCTGTGATACCGAACTACTTTCAGAGTAGTGGAAATATGACACAGGGGCTTGTTGTAATACCTGAATGATAATAATTATATCAGTAAAATGCTGCTCAGATTCATAATAACTAAATGTATTAATAAACGAAAATCTAGATTGAATAGAAACTTTATATTTCTCTGTTTTATTACAAATATGAAATATTTATCAATCAAATATATTCTTATAGTTTTGCAGAAGAAATACAAAAATAAAAAATATTAGCATAAATAATTGCACATCTGTGGAAGATATGAAATATTCCATTTTACAAATAACTTCTAAGCTCTAACAAGGTACTAGAAAATTAAAAAAAAAAAAAAAAAATTCTTCTTCTAACTTTTAGCAAGAGTGATTTAAAATATGTAATATGGTGCATAATTTTAAATAGTTTTTGCTTTCATTGTGAAATTATTTAAAAATTCTTTGAACAACATTTTCTTTCATTTTATCTTTCTTCTGAAATTAATTTAGAATATTATTAGAATGTAAGTAAAGTTTTAGTGTTTGGGCATTAGGAAGTTTCCTTAATTTTCAAGATGAAAAGGTTCCTAATTCTTGAAAAGAAGTCAGTTTTAACTCCGTGTGTCACAAAAATAATCACCCTTTCATTTTTCAATGAAATTATTTATTTTAATGAGATTACATGTTTATTTTAGAAATTCTTGATACTTTACACAGCACACAGGAAATAAGAATGCACCAACAATGACTGCCCAGTTTGAACACTCATTTTTTTTAACACCAACTCCTCTTTGTTTATTGTATGAGAATGTGTGCTGTTAATTATAAAGTTAGATAAAAATGTGAAGCATACTTTATTATGCATGTAGCGAATATTATTTTAGGTTAATAGTGTCATGGATAAAACAGCAGTTATAAAATTATTTTTACATTTATTTCCTTTAAAACTTTTAATACGAATAATACAATGATTATACTCGCTACTTTTTATTATCTCTTAAATTGAGTATCATATTGTCTTTAATTATCCCTTACATATCAAGGGCCATAAAATTTTTAAATATATACAGATCATTTATCCCAAAAAATTTGTTATTTCTAGTGTAATGGTATAAAGCCACTTATTCTTCTCTGATTCTTTTTTATATTTTTTGTATCTGAAAATGATATCAGTTAGATTCTTCAGTAATTGCTTGAGAAATTTTTTTTCCAATAAATAAATTTATGATATCTGTTTTGCATTCCTGATATTTTGAATGAATTTATACCAGAACTCTCTGTAAAAAATTGGAAAATAATTAATTAATCACCCTTAACTAAACACTATTATATATTTTAATAACAGTAATAGTTTTCAAGATGATATTTTAGTTAGTACAGTATTATGATTCACATATGATTTGGTGAATATAGTAACTGAAGCAGTCGGTTGTTTAACACTATTATATTATAAGGACTAGGGTATTCTTCAAGTGCAACATTTCAGCTATAATATCTAGCAATGTAGAAGAAATTAATAATAAATATATTGTAATAAAAATTAGCATATTTTTCTAGTTTGTATTTATAGGCAATTTTCTAGTTTCTAGTTCGTATATTTTATATATTATTTCTTTTACAGTTTTATTTTAATATAAAATGACTGTTAATTTTGAATAACATTGCAAATTATCATATTCATATTTTTCATTTTGAAAATTAGATTTATTATATGAAAGATATGTATATTAGAGTCAATTGCTTAAAATAAAAAATTTCAATTCATTCCAAGACATTTGATATTCCATGAAGCAAATTAATATTGCTTTTTTATCTGTATGCTTTGCATGGCAATTCATCAATTTAAGCATTATCTAGAATGAATCATTCTAATAACTAGAAATATTAATTTTAAATTTTTGTTATTACATAAAATTATGAAACAGATGAACCTATAGCAATTTTATAATTAAAATAAGAATAGGGTAATTAAGACTTTGGAACTGCAATGTCAACAGTTTAAAAATGTCATAAATTCCATGATAATATTTAATATAAAACTGTTTAAAGTTAGTTGAATGAATAAACAAAACTGTTTTTTTCAATAAAATAAATTTCATTTATTTTTATTATAATGAATGCACAGGAGTTTAATTTTTTTTTTTTTTTTTTTTTTTTGTAAATTTAATTATTATAAAAGATTTTTTAGCAACTTACAAGAGAATTATTTGATGCCATACTATCTTCACTGACTATGGACTTGGTATCATTACTAAATTCATCCTCAGGAGATCTGTTTAAAAAAATAATAAAAATATTTATTGTTAGAATGAAACACTAATTGAAATATAAAAAAAAAACATTTTCTGTAATGTGTCATTTGATATGGAGATTTCACAAGTCTCAGCACTACATTAAAAGGAAAAAAATCTGATGTGTACACCACATGACTTCCTTGTACGGAATATTAAATTATATGCATTTTTTCTTGCATTTCATTTAAACTTATTAGATTGAATTAAACCTATTTCGCTGACAGTGCATAAACCACAGTAGAATAAATGCATTCTTTAAAATTCACTTTGTTTACCATAGCGACACTCTGGCGCTAGGTTTACTTAACAGTATGATATTTCGTTCATATTATAACTCAGAATGCACAAAATTTATATCATTTAAAGAATTATCTAATCGTTGCCACATGTTCTATTCAAATACTATAATAAAGCTAGAACTATGTAAAAAAGAAATTAAGCAAATAAAACAAAAAAGAAATAGTTTTTCACAGACGATTGAATATTTCTCATTCAATTAATTCAGTTTTCACTTCGTGAGGCAAAAATACATAAAAACTCAAAATATCTGTATTAAAAATTACGAAGTAAATCTTAAACGTTTATTTCCTCGAAAAAATTCCAGAAAGGATTAAGCATGATTTAAATAATAAATGAAGGCGTTATCTTTGTTGTTGCGAAGCTAAGTTTTTCTAGATTGGCAACAAATACGCTACTCAGCTGTGTCAAATGTAAAAGAGCAAGAGCAATGGCCGCGCCATCAAATTAGGCTTAGCGGGCACTTAAAACAATTTTAAAATTGTTGATAATTCTAAAAATATTGCATACAGATTTACTAAAGGCATAAAACCCTTAACCGGAAGATAAAAACAACATAATTCAATCATTTTTAATGCAAAAAATGTACAATTTACAAACATATAAGAGTAAAGAAACTGAGATCACTGAGCCGGGAAACAGAGTGGATATATTTATAAATATATTTATATACGTTTGCCACGGCCGATTGAAACCAAAATACGAGGTGCATATCTACATGATAGCAGTCCTATATACAAAATTTCAACGTTCTGAGGCTACTCGTTTTTGAGTTATGCGAGATATGTACGTACGCATGAACATACGTACATACATTCGTACAGACGCCACGAAAAATTCTCTTCAGAGTTCATTTTAAATTAGTTTTTTAGTTTTTGGAGGAAAAGAGTCTTTTATTCTGTCCTTACGTACAGATATCACGCAAAAACATCGTTAAATTGCATTCGAAAGCGGTCAAAGTGGATATTTTCATTGAAATATGCTGCCTGAAGCTTTTCGCGGTTACAATACTTCCTTTTTACTTCGTACAAGGAAGTAAAAATTATTCAAGTTTCACAAAACAATTTATCATGTGAAATAATTTCACTTTGCTTTTTAAGACTACTGATTACATGTGTTAATGTACAGGTTAGGCCCTATTTTTTGATTACTTAAATTCAGGTACACCAAACAAAATTATTTCCAAGCACTTGAGTATATCAGATGAATATATTCACAGAAATAAAGATGGATATAGAATTTGGATACAAGAAATGGGCAAAGTATTTTGTCTTGAGATGATATCTTCAAAAAGCTTTCAGGAACTTTCAAATAATGCTTCACTTTCTGATAAGATAAAACAATCCCCATATGAAGCATTATTATATGAAAATCTGAACAAATAATGAAGGCATATAATACTTATGAAGAAGTTAGTACACATTCAAATTTAGAAAATAACCTAAGATGCAAAAAGAATTGAAAATAATTTGAATTTCTAACTCTTATTTATTTTATTACACTTAGTTTAAATTAAATATAATTCTTAAAATTTATTCCATCTTTAAATTCTATTTATTCGCAGTGTGATCCAAGATTTTGATTCAGAAAATACAGTATACACATATATAAATATTCATAGATATAATCACAAATAACCACATAACACATACCGAAAATATCCTAATAATGGTGGCAGATTAAGTGGAGTTCTTTTCACCTGCTTTTCAGATAAAGTCTTTTTAGGATCTGTGTTCCAGCAGTGGCAGTTAATGTAATTAATAAAATAATGCACAAGATCCAAAGTTTCTTGACATAACTGAGAAGAATTGGAACTCTGCAGTAAATTAAAATAGCATTTACAATTTTAAAATTAATACAATAAATTTAGTAGTACACAAAATACATGCATGAAATATATAAAGAAACATAAAACTAATTCCTGATTGATATGCACTTTGAAATAATGCTGCTGTGAAAAAAATAGCAGAAACATTCAAAATCACAGTATAGACAACACACAAAAATATAATAAATATATTCAGAATGTGATGCAACCCCAGTTAAAGACCTATTACAGTATGAAAATGACTACCTGTGATGTTCAAAATCTCACGTTTCTAAAAAAAAAAAAAAAAAAAAAAAAAAAAAAAAACCCACCAAAAACATCCTAATTTTAATGCATAATTAAGTTACAAAGTAACTGAAAACATAGCAGATGCCATCAAATCATAACATTTTGGGCTGTGGAAGAGATTTCTAGGTACTGAAAGCTTCTGCCAGTGACAAGGTTCACTGGTCTTAAAACTTAAGAAACTGATGTTTGATAATCATTAATGGTGCGAAAGAAGAGAAAACTGAATTCAGCTTTACTCAAATCTTTGCTGCACAATCAGCTTCATGTTGCCAATGAACATCATGATTGGAGGTCTGTGATGTCTTGAATAATAAATATTTCTTCTGAAACAAGTTGCAGTGTATTTTGAAGCTGGTAGAAGCTAAGAGTTCATATAGGCACAGCAAGGAAGGTGGAATAATTTCTTTCCCTCATTACTGCAGAAATAGACTGATGGTTTAAAAGCCTTGCAAAAGACAGAATGATGGCATTTTAATGAAAAGAAGTATAAATCTGTATGTCCCCAGTAATGGCATCCTGAACACAAAATGTAGGAACTATTTACATTTATTTATCTATGCTTTATTTATACAAACTATGAGATCTATATAAATTTATCTTATGCTGCAATTATTTGTAAATTTATCTTATATGCAAATTTGTTTTTAAAATTGTAAATTCATAAATTGCGAAGTTCAAGAAATGTTTTTTTTTTTTTTTTTTTTGAGAAAGATAAGCATGTAGACTAGTAGACATGTTCACAGATTATGAATTCATTGCAAAAAATTTGTTTTTAAAAATGCACTTCACAAGCAAGATTCAATAAATAAAAGCACTTGGCATCAATCACCACAATGGACTTTGCAAGCAAAACAGATAGGCCAATAAATTTTCTTGACACAAAGGCAATCAGATCAAATCATCAGGCAACTTTTTTCTTTGCGCAACCCCTTAAAATATATATCTTGAAGTATTATCATTTCTTAACATTATTAAATAATATATATCTAAATTGAAAATAAATATACCTCAGGTTTAAACATTTCAGATACTTTCTTTGCTATTGCATTCAAATTTTCTGCGACTTTTTCAACACAATTTTCCTTTAGTTTCTCTCCACTACATTTCAACAACTTCTTTTTTAAGATGCTGATAAGCTTCTTTACAGCTGAACTGAAAATATTACAAACAATCATTTATTATATTTCATACATAGTAAATTCAAATTACTTCAGGTTTTTTTTCAATGATTAAAGAAAATTATATAAAATAACTTAAAACATAAAATAAATAACTCAGAAAAATACAGAGTTATTCAGGATGATTGATTATACTGATTATAAATGGTTTTATTGCCAAAATTTGCACAAAGTTTTACAAGTGGTTTACATGAACAAGAATAACCAGATCATCACTGTACTTGCTAAAAATAATTTTATAATGTCTTTGCAGCAGTAATAATGTGCATTTTAAAATCAGTACAATTAGCTTATGGAGAAACACAATATTTTTAACAGCTTTATGCTGAACAAAGACATTTTTTCACATAAATTATTTAAGCTCAATGTTAATATTCTGGAAGCTGTTTTTATTTAAAAAAAAAGTTGAAAAGCTATTAGAAATTAACAACTGTGTTTTCACACAATAGAATTTACTCTTTAAAGCCAATAACAAGGTGAAACATAAGATGATGATGAGTCTGAAGTTGCTGAATTAGCTACATGATGTGATGTTGCTAAAAAGATTTTGTACATCTTGTAATTCACAAGATGGTATTGTTAAGCCTAGGACTAATGAAGAAATTTATGATCAATAAAGAATAGCAGTCGAATCATCCAATTGCAAAGGCAAAGATAAAATGAGTAAACAAATATGATAGTCAAATCCATAATGCATAAAAATTATTTGATGATGTGAAACAAGAATAAGGATGCTTTTATTGCATTTGTATTGCTGATAAGTGCTGTGCTTTATCTTGCATTTTAAAGTAATCATGAGTATTCCTTTAAAATGTGAAATAAAGCATATCAACATTAATGACAAAATTGTACTTTTTTCGCATGTGAAAGCTTAAAGTATAAAAGAGCTAGATGATTCATAAGGGGGAGGGCATTTTGCAATGAACACCACACTTAATATTAGATAATGATCCAATCTTGATTCAGTTCCTAGAATTGTGGCAGAAACAGAGTTTGATCTTTTCACTTCTTTCTTTACATGGGGTTGAATAGAAAAATGGATGGTTTTGAAGGGCATCAAGAAATCAAAGAATATGAGTGTAAAATTCCAAGAGATGAAATGGTAAATTTTAAGCAAATATGCAGTTTCTTAATAACATGGCATGCTAAAATAGCTGGGGGAGGAGTGTAAGTATGGCATTAATCAAAACAGGAGAAATATAGCACTGTAATGTGTGGCATTTACTTTTATTGTTCAACTGGATACTGAGTAATAATACTTTAAGTATTATAATTTAAAAGTTTTTTATAATTTAATATGGGGGTCTAATGGCGGCTGAGCAGTAAAGTCGCTGAACACTGGTAATTCGACCTGGGTTTGAATCCCAGAAAACAGGCTAGCTGCATGAGCAATTTCATGAGTAATCATGTGTAACATGCTTATGAGCAAATTTCCTTTAGATGTCCTCCATGAAGACATCCCTCACGTTAGGCAGATAGATCTCCTGTGCTTTGCCATAATCAAATAAACCAAACTGTAATTTAATATGCTATTTTCCTGCCATGACATCAGTGTTTCAGAATGGTAAAACATGGATGTCAAGATCAATTATACTAATTTTAAATGATAACATACTAAAATAAAACTGCAAGTTAATCTTTAGTATATATACTTTTGTATATATATAATGTAAATATATATTATTATAATTTTTTTTTAATCCTAGGCTCGTCTTTGACATTTCTGCCTTTAGTTGACAAGCAGCTCAATAAAATGATGCAAGTGTTAAAAAGTGTAAAAATTAGCCTACATAGAGTTGTCTGTAAGAAACTTTAAAATAATAGGGCAATTCTTGAGGTGGTCCCCCTGATGGCAAAGAGGGCAACAAGCTGAATACTTGGTTCAAATGCAATGTTAATGTTGCTTTAATAATCATGGCCAGTTTTTATATGCATAAGGGTGCAGCCTCGGTAATGCTAAATCTGTTACAGCGCTTAAGTAGCCCTCAATGATAAACAATAGCGAAAAATATATATCATAAATTTTTGGGAATTAAAATGGTTTTAGACTTTGTTAAGCAGTTTTAATTTTGATTTAAAAGCTTTAATAATGGCTTGCTTAAAATATGTATCTCTATTACAAAAGTGACATATGCTGATACATATGTCTCAGTAATTCAGAAAAGTTCTACGAAAATTGCGTCATGGACAATTTCAGAGTCATTTGTAATGCAAACTTACTAGTCAAGAATTTAATTCTAGCTATTTAATGAAACATGTATTAATAATTATTATTAGTCAGCTAATGCATTTACGATAATTAAACTCTTGTTTGACAAGCATGCCATTTTTTAAACCATGACCAGGACACAAATCAGTCATATAATACGATACATTTTATGAGAGAAGTATTATAAACTATAGGAATACATGATGCAAGTAACAGACAGAACCAATATAAACTTAAAAATTACAGTACTTCTCTGAAGGGAAAACATTAATTTTGTTAATTCAGAAGTCAAACAACAAAAATCAGTGTTATATTTACAAAATATATTTAAAAATTTTGTAAATATAACACTGATTTTTGTTGTTTGACTTCTGAATTAGTATTTATTCAGCATGTTATTGTGTCTTAATTAATTTTGTTCTTTAAAACACTAAGATATAAATCAAGAAGGAAAAAAAAAAAAAAATCCCCCCCCTCGTTAACAACTACTTAACAGTAACTATGAGAAAATTCAATTTCCAAAATAAATAAATAAACAAATAATAAAACACCATATTATGGTTGTTAAGAAATCAGTCTCCAGCAGCTGCTTTGAAAATCCAGCCACTAAAATCCTGGCAGCCAGGCTCCAAATAGATAATTCGTAATTTCAGTTGATGAACTGTGACTTTGTTTTCATCATATTGACATCACCACATTCATTACTCTACAATCTGATATAAATACAGAAATAAGTGCAGTGTATGGGCTAAACTTTATATAATTGACGTGTGACAAAATAGTGTGAAAATTTTCAGATAGAAAAGTCTGACAAGGAGTGCCACGAATAGCCCTCCACAGTTATTCATAAACTTGTGCAACAAGCTGTCAGATAGATTTGAAACTGATGTTGATATATTACCTCTAATATTTCACTGAAACTCTTTCAAATGTTCAAATGATTTCACATGAAATCATCATAAAATGTGTGGTTACCATAAGTTTGGTTTAATATAGATGTCACAAAAGAACAGCTTTGCAAAATGAAATGAAGGGCTTCAGCTTTAAAAATTTTCCAGCATTACCACTAGCATTATAATATTAAATATGGTGTAGTAAAAATGAATTCAGTTTTACAGCACCATATTTAAAGTTACATTATAAGTTTCTTCTAATTATTTTTATTGTTATTAATCAGTTTAAAATTTTTAATTATTCTTTTTTCACTATTTAGCACAAGTTAGACTTAAAAAAAGTTATTTGTTACTGAGCATGCCAAAATAATCATCTTGGGAAAAAAAAAAAAAAAAAAAAAATTAATTATTCTAATGCTATAATTTTGCAATTTTTTGCACTACTTACTATAGCCTGTAAGAGTTTGACTGATTTATTTTAGAGTTTATTTAAAGTATTAAATTTTTTGTGTTTCTGTTGGTCAACAAAACAGGCTGTTGTATTTACTTCTTTTGTTGCACCAACCCCTTGATGACAATATAGTGAAATATGTAAATTTCTTTCTTTTCATTTCTGGTTTTGGCACTTCTTGCACCTATCAGTCAGTTTGCCACTGTACTTTTGTTTTTTGTATATGGTTTGTTGCAAATTGAATATGCAATAAATTTTGAACATATCTTTAATTTTTTCATTATATATATGTGGCGTTCCGACAGATACTTCAACTTCTATTCATGAGATGGCACCACGTGTAAAATCCAGTTCTTAATCGGAGCAGCAAAGCGACGTTATTACTCACTCAGACTTCTCGTCAGACAACTGTACGCGACGGTAGCATGAACTGTGTTCCGAGCTCTGCGTTGATCTCTGCAATGTAATTTAAATTGTAATCTAGTACTTAATATATTCTTTGTTATAGGAGATTGTCTACTTTTATTTTCTTTAATTATATCATGCATTAAGCACACGACCACCAAAAGTGGTGACCTTTTTGACTGAGCACGCTACTGAGAATGGATTTTCAACGACCCTAAGCCATGTGCATCCAAGGCATTCTGAAGAACTGACTAAAAATAACAACGAATATGGACATTAAACGTATGCTACAACGTACCCCTTCAATTATTTCTAGAAGTATTGATATATATTGCTTGTGTTTTTTCAAAGTCGTGCATATCATCGCAAGGAGCTTCAGCAAATCATCAATGTGATCTGTTCCGTTCCGCTGACTTCGCCAGTCGTGCAATAATTCTTCGATCATTCAACTTTTGTGACAAATGTGATACAATAGTGATTTTCGCTAAATGTGCTACAGTAATTTTTTCTGCAATGTGCTACGGAAAAATTCTTCCCTCAGTGTTCGAAAGTAGTGAATTTTTCCCCCATGTGCTACAGGAGTGATTTCCTTTTTCCTTCGAAAGTGCCTTAGCAGTGTGAAGATTTTGTGTATGCGCAATACAAAATGAACGCATCATTTTATTTCTCAAATAGGGGTTTCTTTTCAAATGCATTTCGGTAAAATATTATTTGTGTGTGTAATTGCTGACCCTGTCTTATTTGTGTGTGTATCGTTACGTAAATTTTTTCTGCATGGTTAAAATATTTATTGTTATCATGGTAAAATATCAATAGTGTATAATCATGCTACAATATTTGTGCTGTTAAGTGTTTTATTAATTAAAGTGAAAATTATCTATCAGTATGCCCGACGATATTCCACCAGAGCCACAAATCACACGCGTTGCGGTGAAGCCACCGCCCACCGCCTTTCTGGAAAAATAATCCTTCATTGTGGTTCGCTCAGATCGAAGCACAATTTTCTATCGTTCGCATTAGTGAGGATTCTACAAAATTCAACCATGTAGTTGCAGCAATTGAGTCTGATATTCTGAATTCAGTGCATGACTTAATTCTCAAACCACCTGATGATTGTGATAAATACTCCAAACTGAAACAGCGGCTCATTGAAATCTATTCAGAAAGTGAATCTTCAAAAATACGTACTTTACTACAAGGACTTGAACTTGGAGATCAGTGACCTTCATACTTGCTGTCACGAATGCGTGATCTAGCAGGAAGCCATTTTAGTGACGACTTGTTGAAGTCACTATGGCTTTCGCGTCTCCCTAATAACATACAAATAATTCTTGCTGCTTCCAATGAAGATCTAACCCGTTTAGCAGCAACGGCTGACAAAATTAATGAACTTGTTACTCCAGCTTATGTCAGTGCTGTTAATGCTGCACCTTCCAGTTCATCCCTCGAACAACAAGTGGATGAACTGACCAAAAAAGTATCTGAACTCTCTACAAGTCTTCATGCTTCACGGAGATACAATCGATCAAATCAGGGCCCACGTAATAAATTTCGTGCCCGAAGCAGGAGTCGATCTCGTCACAATACTCGAACGCAGTACAAAGAACCCACAAGTGGCATATGTTTTTATCATATGAATTTTGGCGCTCAAGCTTGCAAGTGTGCCCCTCCATGCACTTTTGAACAAGCGGGAAACTAAATGGGTGGTCTTCTGCTGGCCAACAGAATGTCCGCCACATCGACAGAATAGTACTGGCTGATCGTTCAACTCAGTTATGTTTTCTAGTAGATACTGGAGCTGACATATCAGTGCTCCCGAGAACTAAAACAAATGCTTACCAACTTAATAAACTTGTACTGTATGCAGTCAATGGTACCCAAATTGCAACCTACGCACACGGCACCAACTATTGACACTTGATTTAAAACTTGCGCCGGACTTTCAACTGGCCTTTTATTATTGCGGATGTAACTCAAGCAATTATTGGTGTCGACTTCTTGACACATTTCCACCTCCTAGTGGATGTCAAGAATAATTGCTTAATTGATGCTACAACCCAGCTGACATCACAGGGCCAAGCTTCTCACATATCGAACGTACCTACCAACATAAGTGTTGTATTGGGCAGCACACGGTTTCATCGGTTATTAGCAGAATTCCCTGACATTTTAAACCCATCCAAATCAGGGCAGCATACTCATCAGCCAGAAGTGCATCATCACATTGAAACACATGACCCACCTGTATTTTCCAAGCCTCGTCGTCTTTCTCCAGAGATGCTAAAAGCTGCTCGCAAAGAATTTGAATTCATGCTAGCGCAGGGAACCATTCGCCCATCTAAAAGTCCATGGGCCAGTCCACTTCACATGGTTAAAAAGTCTAATGGTGACTGGCGGCCTTGTGGAGATTATCGTCGACTTTATATCGTCACAGTCCCTGACAGATATCCAGTCCCACATATCCAAGACTGTACCCATCTTTTTCATGGAACAAACAACATTTTTTTCTACCCTCGATCTTGCCAGAGCATATCATCAGATCCCAGTGCATGCTGAAGATGTGCCCAAGACCGCAGTGACTACACCATTTGGTCTCTTTGAGTACTTATATATGCCATTTGGCCTTCGCAATGCTGGCCAAACATTTCAGCGATTCATACACCAAGTACTGTCTGGCCTCTGATTTCTGCATCCCATATTTTGATGATATCCTGGTTGCATCTACAGATGCGGAAGAACATTTTCAACATCTGCATCAGATTTTCACTCGCCTTAAAGATCATGGTTTTAAAACTAAATCCATCCAAATGTGTACTTGGTCAACCCCCTCAGTTTCCTTTCTTGGATGTCTTATCACCCAGAATGGAGTCAAAACCTTTACCGGAAAGAGTCAAAGCAATTAACGACCTACCTCAGCCCCAAAACCATCTCTGAACTGAAAAGCGTTTTCTAGCAATGTTAAATTTCTACCGACTTGCTTTCTGCCAAATGCCGCAAAAACACAAGCCTGCCTACATGAGTTTCTGAAGAAAAAAAAAAAAAAAAAAAAAAAAAAAAAAAAAAAAACGATCATCAACGAGCTGTCCCTTGGACTGAATCTGCATCTGCAGCATTCGTGCAATGCAAAACAGATCTGGCAAATGCAGCCACACTTTCTTATCACTCACCTAGTGATCAGCTCTCTATAATGGTAGATGCATCTGACACGGCCATAGGAGCAGTGCTTCAAGCCCATACCACTAAAGGACTTTCCCCAATGGCATTCTTCTCCAGGAAAACTTAACTACTGCAGAAAGGAAATACTAGCACATATGACAGGGAGCTACTTGCTGTGTACTGTGTGCTGTTAAATACTTCCGGCACAACTTGGAAGGACACGACTTCATCATTTTCACCGATCATCGACCATTAACCTTGGCTTTTAGAAAAAACTCTGACTCATGTTCTCCTCGTCAGCTTCGACATCTGGATTTCATCACCCAGTTTAGTACAGATATCAGATATGTCTCTGGTACTGATAATTGTGTCGCTGATGCCTAGTCTCGGGTAAACAATATCAACCTCACTACCCCAGATTTCTCTGAAATTGCAAAAGTTTCAATTGCATGATGAGGAACTCAGAAACCTAATCTCAAATCCACAAACCTCCCTTCAGTTACAAACCGCTGCACATTGATCCAACGCTTAAAATAATTTACTGTGACATAGAGAACAATAGAATACGTCCCTATATTCCTGTCAATTTTAGACGTGAAGTGTTTAATGCCTTGCACAATTTGGCACATCCTGGAATCCGTGCCACCAAAAAAGCTGATCGCAGACAGATTTGTCTGGCCAGCAATGAATCAAGACATCACAGAATGGACTCGTTCATGTATTAGATGTCAACAGTTTAAAGTATCCCGTCACACTCACAGCCCCATTCAACAATTTAACCTTCCAGCAAGACGCTTTGATCATGTGCACTTAGACTTAGTTGGCCCATTGCCATTGCCTCCTTCAAATGGTTACACTTACCTCCGCACTTGTATTGATCGGTACACAAGATGGCCTGAAGCCATTCCTATTGAAAATATATCCGCTGAAACTGTAGCTCGAGCATTCATCTCCCAGTGGCTTTCAAGATTTGGCATGCCTACCACCACATCACACTGACCAAGGCCGACAATTTCAATGTCACTTGTTCGCATCCCTCACCTCTCTTCTCGGCATTCGCCATATTCGCACAACACCATACCATCCATCTGGAAATGGGATGGTGGAACGCTTTCACCGATCTCTCAAACAAGGTCTGAAGTGCCACAGTAGCACACACTGGACAGAAGCCTTACCCCTAGTCTTGCTTGGTCTTCGCACAGCATTCAAAGAAGACATTGGTAGCACTTGTGCTGAAATATTATATGGTGCAACCCTCCGGCTGCCAGGTGAATTCTTTCACCCAGAATCTACTCCAGTTATCGACCCTCCGACATTCCTTCAATGTTTACATGAGACCATGAGCAATATCTCGCCAACCCCAGCATCTTCGCATAAGCAGCCAAGCTATTTTGTACATCCTGCACTTGAGACATCTTCGCACGTATTCGTGCGCAACGATGCAATTAAGCCAACTTTAACACCTTCATATGATGGTCCATTCAAAGTTGTCAAATGAACACCGAAACATTTCACCATCATCTGCAATGGCAAACAATCAGTGATTGGAATCGATTGTCTCAAACCAGCATTTCTAATGCAAGATCCAACAACTTCCTCATCAACATCACTCCCGGAAGAAAGCTTACATCCCGTTAAAGAGCAACCTAAAACTACCAGATCTGGAAGAAAGGTTAAATTTAACCCAAAGTACTTATAACGTACCGATGGTACTTATACTTCTATTCATGAGATGGCACCACGTGTAAAATCCAGTTCTTAATCGGAGCAGCAAAGCGACGTCATTACTCACTCAGACTTCTCGTCAGACAACTGTACGCGACGGTAGCATGAACTGTGTTCCCAGCTCTGCGTTGATCTCTGCAATGTAATTTAAATTGTAATCTAGTACTTAATATATTCTTTTGTTATAGGAGATTGTCTACTCTTATTTTCTTTAATTATATCATGCATTAAGCACACGACCACCAAATATACATATCAACATACTGATAATCAAATATAAAGTTTTGACATAAATATACATGGAGATAGAGGTAAGAAATAGGTTATCTATCCTGGGAAAATATTATAAATTGAATTTAAAAGTACCTTTAAATTTATAACAAAGTATGATGCAAATTGCGAACAAAGTAGACAGCAGCTGCATTTTGGAATAGAAACTCTGTGCTGCTAATTAAGTAAAAAAACCTAGAGCTACAACAACATTAGATGTATGGAAAACTCTGAGACACGGAATATTGCAGAACCATATTAACAACAGCAAAATGTTGAAATTAGGCACTGTTTCTACTTAGTAATGCACATCCAGACACAGGTGGTCAGACAGTGTAGTTTTCAGAGACATGTTTTATCCTGACACTTGGCCTAAGTAACTTCTTTTTTGTTCAGGAATGAAGATTTCACTGGAAATATATGGCTCCAACATGGAGAGAAAATAGCACTCTATCTTTAAATACAGGTATATACATCAGATTATAAATACTGCTTCAGTGAAAAATGTGATTATATCAAGAAGTACCATACCCATATAACTGACTTATGTATAGAATAAAATCTTTTTCTGAACAGGCCCGGAAGATTGATTTCTTAATACATTACTATTTAATACAAAAGAGTAGTTAAGAAATTTAATATCTTACTAAGAAATGACTTCTTCTTCAATAACAGTTTGCATTTGGTTAAGAATATCTACAAACAATTCTAGTCCTTTCATATGAGGGAGCATGGGACAATCAGGAGGAGGAGCATAACCTTTTCCACCTAATCTTACACGTGTGACATATGAAATTGCAGTCTGGAGGGGGAAAAAGGAAAGTGCATCATTTTCTATGCATCAAGCTATAATTATTAAAAAATCGAATTTATATAAATGCTATTAAAATTATAGCCAGATTTACCATATGTCAGAATTTGCATACAATACAAAAGATATTACAAGTTTATATTAGCTTATGTTCTTAAACTATTCTAAAGCAGAAGATGATAGTGAGTTATAAAAAATTAATAAATTTGATACATATATAACACAACTATTTTTTACAAACTTTTATATCTAACTAAATAACTGTATGTGAATCATACAAATTGAAAAAAAAAATTAAATTATAAAACCCAAACTGCAAATGATAATAATTTTCATACAAAAAAGGTTTATTGAACAAAACAAAAATTCCTTCTTTTTAAATGCAATTAGGCATTTTTAATGCAAATAGCATATGTCTAAGTTGTACGTCTAGTCATGTCTAAGCACTGATGCAAGTTTAACACTACTTCATCCAGTTTGCTAACCAACAGCAATTAGTACAGCCACTTAAGAAAAAGTTCAGTCAAAAATTGAACATTAGTGGAAAACAAAAAGAAAACATTACATCTCTTAAATAAAAACATATATTTTTATCAAATACATTTCTTTTGTTTCTACAATATTTAACTTTTATCTGCAGCCTTATTATCATTTTCAGCAAAGCATTACCTAAATAAAAAAAAATAAAAATAAAAGACTGATTTATCGCAGTAAAAAAATGTACTCAAAAAAGTGTTTGAAGCTAGTAACAAAAAAGAAATGAGAAATGAAAAATATGATTCATATTTCAATACTAAGAGAGTTTAAATAACCCCTCTATGAAACATTATCTTGTCTAATCAAAAAAGACTGAAATGAGGAGCATTATTATACAGTAGTAAGCTATAAATGTAAGTGAAAAATCGCTATAGGTTATAAAATTATGGAAAAAATGAGAAACAACCATCAACTGATTACAACACTAAGCTATTATTTAAATTCTATCAAATTTATATTTAGATTAATTACAAATCCAATGCAGATCAAACAGTAATGATGTGTAAAGGCTAAAGACAAACTTCTTGACTGAAAAACGTCAGCATTGCCATAAATGTTTCAAAAGAATTTTTTCCTTTTTAAAAGCACATTTACATGAATGAAAATAAGGATGCCAAGAGGCACCAGAATCAAATATCAGAAAATGGAAATAACATATTTGGTAAATTCTGTTGATATCAGTATCGAAAAATGGATAATTTAGAAGTCTTAAATTTTTCACAAGATATTACTCAAAACGAATCTACCACAATCGGTATAGTTTCTAATAGTTTTTAAATATAAGAAATAAATTTTCAAATTTCTCACATTTTAACTATTTATACACCATTTATAAGCATTGATTTTTTTTTTTTTTTTTTGACTGGAGGGAGAAATCTTAAATGCAGTGTTATTTGTAATTCAGAAAAGTTTTAGGCCTACAATAAGCAAATGCCTGTCTCTTGAAACTAAGAGAGAACAACATGAAGTTTCTCATAAAAAAATTGGGGAAGGAATCTTGATTTTTAATCAGACATTTTTGCTGATTGTTTCTTTATATAATCTCTCCCACTTAAGGGAATAAAAATCAATGTAACCTATTAATCACAAAATAAAATGCAATCTTGTATGTTAAAAATGACATAAATTGAATATTAAATAACAAAATGAAATATATACATAAAAATTACAATTTAATCAAAAATATCTTTATCCTAGTTGATAAGATTTTACAAAGAACTGTTCAATACATAACTTAACCCTATAAAATTCTTGATAATTTTTTACATTTTCTAGTTGTAGTTTTAGTCATTTAAAGAATCTGGCATGGATTTCAACATTCTGCACATATTGGCATACCACCATTCTTTTTACCAGAATTCATATAGAGCAATACCTCACATAGCCCAGATACATAGCCAGGCCTTTACCATATCTCAGACTGTTTTAAAATGGACTAATTGAGAAATATATAAAAAATAATAATTGGTTAAAAAAATCCTGTTTTTTGATAAACAAAATGTGATTAATAAATTTAGATGTCTTTATTAGAAATAATTTTTTTACTTTTCTTAGTTTCTAGAAATTGCAATATTGATGCCTGCACATTTGTCTTCTTTGATGATTTCTCTTCAAAAATTTCCTTCTAGCAATTAATTGCATTGTTTATTTTTGCAAGGGTACATTCAGTATTGAGCCCACCAGCAGCCAAGCAGTAAAATTGCTGAACACTGGTAGTTCGATTTGAGTTGGAATCCCAGCGAATAGTCTGGTTGTATGGGAGTTTTCATCGTTTTCCTCATCAGTAAAGTGAACATCAGCCAGTTTTCCTTAGAATGGTCCTTTGTGAGGGCATCATTCCACTTAAGCAGACAGCCATTATTTGTTTGCCTTTTCATACTCTAATTAACACAGCCTAACAGTCAATATTGGAATCAAGTGCAACAAGTTTTCAACCCTTTCAATATTTTTTATAGCTTTAGCTGTTAATTCTCATGCAGTCACTTCAACACAATCACTGCTGTTTAAATTATCATCCTAATTTTCATACTTTCATACTGATTTGCTACCATCTATGTTAATAACAGGGTCATAGCCACATTTTAGTTAAAAAAATAAGCACCTATAAGCAGTTTTCAAGCACATTTTAAGAAAAAAAAAATAAGCACCTGTCTAATTACATTATACACAACGGCATAACCTTAAAAATTATATTTGTAATTTAAAATATGAGAAATGCAGTATTTATTAAGAGAGAATAAGCATTACTTCAACCACAGAAAATAATTACTTTTTTTTTTTTTTAAATTTTAAATAACAGTTCAATTTACAGAACTTTCAGTTTTTTCAGTTACAGAACTTTCACTTTACAATGAGTGAAAAAAAAACTATGCAGAACTAAACTATATTACAAGATTTAATGATGAAATTTCAGTTCAAAATAGAGGAAATAAATAATAATGAGGCATATTTATGTATTCGCTTGGAAACCTAATAATAAATACAATTTATTTTTTTCCACTCATATTGATATTTAAATGATTTAAATCTAAATTCTGAACATTTTCTAAATTTTCATTGTATATCAGTTTTCCCTTAACAGATATTGCAAGCAAAGTAATTTAAGTAAAAAAGAGGAACCTTTCTGAAATCAGAAGACAGAAATTTTGCTTCATGCAGTCATCCTCTAACAGTAAAAGCTTAACTAACCTGCATACTTAGAGAAATTGGCGAATATTCGGACAGTCGAGCGTAACTTGAAATAGAGGAGAGCGGAGGGGGGTAGACTGAAAGCCGCTCTTTAGATTTTTTTCCGCTAAATAAATGCTTTTAACAAACATTTCGTTATGTGTGCATCATATAAAAATAAACCAATGGAACTGAAAAATATTCTGCTTAGAAAGCACAGTAAAACTCTTTTAAGTGTTCACAAACAAATCTCGGACAGAACATCAAAATTAATTATCTCTCGCAAAATATTGCAAACGTTATTGCTTGCTTGTTTCGAATGGAAAGAGAGTGACAGCGTGCTTTTACTCTGAATCAGATAAAAAAATGTCTGGAACAAACGGAAAATATGAAGAATCAAGATGGTAGAATGGGATATTTCACTTAGCCGCCATCAGTCGGCGAAGAAAGATGAAATGAATGAAAATAGACCAGCAATGTGAAAAAAAAAGTTGTGTATCAGTAAGGTAGTAGGTACTTCAAATAATTATAAAAAATTGTTAGGTTAGAATATCCGAAGGATATTTGTGTTTTGCTCTAGGAAAAGGTAGCATCGCAAAGAGCTGATACAGCTGTTTGGATGTAATAGTACAGAAAGGAAAAAATTTGTTGCAAGTTTTTTGATATAATTTTGTATAGTATCAATTTGAAGATCTTTGTGAATATATGAATTTGGATGAACCAGGGTGCATTAATAATAAGAGGAAGAAAAGGATGATTACTGATGAATTTATTGGTAGCAGAATTTAAAGCCTGTTCAACACTGTTGGTAAAATTTTAAATTTCCGTGTCTAAGGCTTCTTTACTGCTAATGCAAGGATTTCCTGGTATAGTTTCTGTCAGAATTTGAGAATATTTATTCCAGTTGGTGATTCCAATGTTGCGACCTAATGCAGGAAGGAAGCAGTTGATATTAATTTCAAGCAAGATATGATTATGATCAGAAGATAAAACAGGAATAACAGAAGTTTGACTATTGTAACTGAGGTTATTTGAAAGAAAAAAGTCAATGATGGAGGAGCTATGGTAACCAAAATGTGTTGGTTCATCAGGTGCATGTATAACATAATTTTTATCCTGGATCAAATTGAAAATTTCAGTATCTTTTCTGTTGCTTGCACCAGGATTCCAATATTGATGTTTCGCATTAAAATCGCCACCTACAAGAGAGGGATAATTAGAGTCCAAAAGATGTTCAATTTTAGCCATAATTGATGTATGATTCGTGGAAACGTTATTGCACAATACGTGGGTCGTAATTCTTCCCTACGTGATATTACGCAATCGGAATCAACAGCTGCCGGTATTGGGAGAATAAAGAACTAAATAACTGGGTGTTTTTCATTCTAATTTTCAACAGACGGTGTTAAATTTCCGGAATAGAATCATTCTTCGCTTGGGTTAAAAGACCGCAGAACTTTTAATCCTATTCAATCCAGATTGGAAAATGAAAAAAAAAAAAAAAAAAAAAAAAGCCGTTGCTTGTTTTGCAGCGAACTGTAACAGTTTCAATATTCGAGATTTTGCGGAGAAAGGGGAGAACCTCCCAATCTTTGTACTGTATAATGTATTGGCCAAAAAAATGAAATTATTTTGACTATTCGATTACTTTCCCTTTATTTAAGCCATTTCGAATTCTTTAGAAAGCTAATCTGTGTTAAAACACAACCATTTTTGGAAGTTTACTATACCTCAGCAGTTACTGCAACTATGTTATTATAAACATTCATACATATCATAATAAACACGAATATGAACTGACCAAGCGGAACGAGAATGCAAATTATTAAGATCTTGATAGAAATTCAAACGTGTGTAGTATTTGGGTGGGAGGAAAAGAATGCCGAATGTACCGGAATTTTCTACTACTTTCGCAATTCTTTGACCAATAGAACGGCGGGCACCTGTCTGTACTCTTCGTGCACACCAAAGGTTATGTTAATGCAGAGAAAGGGGAAAAAGCTATAGTCCTCCACGAAGGCATCCCTCCCCTTAGGCAGATAGCCCTCGTGTGCTTTGCCATAACTCAACACACCAACACCATTAAAAAAAAAAGCACTAAAAGCAAAAAATAAGTACTAAAAACAAAAAAATAAGGGCTTTAAGGGAAAAGTAAGCACCTATAAGGGCCTTTATATTTTATTTTCAAATTTAAGGACTTATAAGCACTTATAAGGATTGCTACGAACCCTGTAATAAACTTTTCATATTATCTAATCTGTTAATGTTGATTCAATGCAATTACATTGATGGACTCTACCTTATTGAAACCAAGTTTCTTTACAATTTCCACTACTTTCAAAATCAATGAAATAATTTGCACCATGTGGCATGATATTGCTCTACTGCTTGCCATAAATTCATGCAATGTTTTGCTTACATTTTTCATAATGCTTCTGACATTGTAGCTCTTTTAAAGTAAGTGCATTTCTGTTAGAATAAATTAGTGTCACTTTTGTATAATGAAACTCTGCAATGTCAAAAAACAACAAATGCCAAACTATATATTAGGCGAGAGAGGCTTCTACTTTGGTTCAGATGCAAGTCTTAAAAAGATTTTGTGTTAATATTTTACTTGTGCTTCATTCTTTCCAGCATAATATTTTCTTTTGTGGAATATATTCCTGATAATATTGCCTATCAGGCAAGCCTGAAGATTTATAAATGAATCTCTTGTAAGTTTTTTTTTTTTTTCTTAACACTTTGATTTAAATGTTTGTAAAGACTGTCAACTTTGATTTGTATTCTATTTGAGCTAAGCAAACTCTCTAACCTGTTAAATAAAGATTTCATAGTTATTCTAACTCATGATTCTTTAATAAAACTGTGTTAAATAGAAGAAAGTGTACTCAAACGCCGTAATTTAAATGCATGAAATATCAATTTCCCATTTTGTATTTTCCCTGTTTATGACTGTTCAAGGACAGCAAATAATGGAAATATGTATTGTAATGCATAACGTTAAAATAAAAGGAATAAAAAAGGAGACTTGACTATATGAAAAGAGAAAAAAATATGTTTTAAATATTATTTTTTAGAATTTATCTTTATTAAAATGATTAATTTGTTTTTAAATTTTCAAACCAGACTAAAGTGAATCCAGACTGATTGAAGCTGGATCATATGAGGCATTCTTGTACTTTCAATTTCATCAAATTCTCCTCTCTTTTTTTCCTTAATCCTATGTATAAACATGTTGTTCTATATATAAATCCTAATGTACTAATATAATCCTAATGTATTCTTTCCATCTTCACACTGATATCAATTTTCATCAATAAGAATGTACTCCAAAAATATAAAAATCTTGAATTTTAAGGTAATCATGTTTTTAAAGTTTAGAGAGATTATCAGACATCTTAAATTTAAAGAAACATTCAGTGTATTTGCATGTTCTCTCTTTCAGGAAATCCAGATATTTTTAATGATTTTTTATTGTTCTTGTAATGAAAGTTTATCACAAATGCTAAGTATATGCAAGGTGTTGCATATGTAGATAATTGAATTGCTAATTCCTTTTGATATGCTCACACTTTCATTTCTATTTCTTTCTTCATTAATCATCTTCGTGATGGCTTTTACTGTGGTGATATCTGAGTGCACTGACGATTCGTTGATTTAAATGTTGAAGGTCAGAAAATGTGTTTGAAGGTAGGAATACAATGTTGATGTTTTTCAATGCAGTGTCATTTAGATGTATGGAATGGTTGTCTAAGAACAGAAGAAGCATTGCATTTACGATTCTATACACCATGTTGACTTGTGAAAATTTTAGAAGACATCCAAGCATTTTCATTTAGGCAGCTGACTGGTAAATTTGTAATTTCTTTCAAACATCTTAGATTTTTATTGGTGCAGATTATTAAATATGTCTTAACCACCCCATTGTAAGTGAGAAGCTCAGTAGCTTGTTTGCATTCTGCTTGATTATATTCTGAACACAGATGTATGTTCTGGAAATGCTCTAAAACACAGTTTCATCATATAGAATTAATTTTCAAATATTTCAATCAAGTGCTTTGTATATACCTCAGCCACTTCCAGATCTGGATCATTCTTCTCTCTGTGTAATTTTGATGATATTATCTTTATGCAGTTTTATGATTTGTTTCTATGTAATCTGATGAATTAGGCTAACGCATTCTTTCCATCTTATCATCCATCATCAATCAATCACAACAAAATATTTCTCTAGCATTTTGGTTAAATATCTGGCTTTCTGAGTGAGCTGGGTTGTTTTCTAAGACTATTCTGGATATCTCCTATCCTTCATACCTGCACATTTAAACATGTGTTTTCAAACCTGAACACTTCAAAGACATTACACCTTCCTGATATCTTCTGGCTCCACATTCATTTTCCAGCAACTGTATTTCAGTCTATGATCAAATAACATAAAATTACTTACAAGGTTTCTAACTTCAAAGCAGTTTCTTATTGACCATATTTTGGGAAAAAAATTATAAAATTTATGTAAATCACTTTCTTTTCCAAACTCAAATCTTGTTGCTTAGACATTTTAATACTTTTTAGCATTACCTGGCTATACTCTCCTTCAATAAAGGAATTCTTGTTGGTAAGTTTGTGAAATTCTGCGAAAGCTATTTTTGTCACATCCATCCCACTGCATTTTTTACCCTTTACTGTAATCAGTCTTAAGAAATTTCATCCATGTGCCTTGACTATGTTACATGTCTTCATTTTGCAATCACCTATCTTGGTTAAAAAAAGAAATTTTTATGATGACTGGCTATGTTATTTTATAAAGTGGCAGTTTTGTAATGATTTTGCATTTATTTCTGCTCTTGAGAATTTGACACCAGCTGTTTATATAAACTAGTGATTTGACTATGTGATGCAGATTATGCATCAAAAATATTCCTTTTACCTTTCAGAAAATAGATATTAAAAATTTTAAGACATTATTGTCAGATTATTGTTATTATTATTATGAATGAATTCAGTACAAAATCAAGAATGTTTTCTAACAATTACCTGACACATTGGCATATCTTTTTCAACAGCTAGGTGTTTCAATTGAGTAAAAGCTTTATGACTTAAGTCAATAACAGGTGATACCATGGCTTTAGATAGAGCTAATTCATAACGACTATTAACTAGAAGACTAAGAAATGCAATGATGACATCTGTAACATATTCCTAGAGTAAAAAAATTAAATTATTTTGGTACATAAATAAAAAAATGGAAAATCCATACATAATAAAATAAAATTTTCATTTTATGTTCTTACATAAAGAAGCAATTCTCAGTTTTTGTTACTTCTTTCCTAAACAAGATTTTCAAATAAATTTCAGAATATTTACCAACCGCAATGTTGAATGCAAAATGATTTTGAATTACAGATTGAGTCATACTATGATTTAATAAAGGACCAAGAGGAAGTATGAAAAATTATCACATTTGCCTATTTTCTTTAGTTAATGTTGGTGAAATAAGTATGAATCATTTGTCAAAGTTGTGATAAATGCACTCTGAAAATAGTTCCTAATTTACAAGTGTCTGAAAATATTTGGAAAAGCAAATATGAAATTTGGCATTAGCATACAAGACATTTTTAACTATTCATTAAAATGTCTTGATGAAGAGTCACTGAAAGCTGAAAATGTAACTAGCATTAAATATATATACATATATATATATATATGCTTCATAAAAAATTTAATTATTAATAAATTTTTAATAAAATAGCTGCCTCTATTTATTAAACTGGAACTGTTGTAGTTTAGACAGCCAAAAGATTTTTAAGAGAATTTCATATGATTTGTATATACACTCTTCATAAAAATAACTCAAATTTCTGAGTAATATTCAAAATATTTGTAATATGATTCATTAACATGTTAAAAATATTTTAGTTTTCTTCTCACCAATATTATTAACTGTTTCATTCCTTGCAGAATATCAGTCTGTATTATTTGGAAATAAAAAATAAATCTAAATAAAATACTTTTTAAATGCACCATCCCTCTCTCTCATTTTCACACACTTTTCCCCTCTTTCGCTTATTCTTCACAAAAGTACAATAATTTCTGCAATTAAAATGGATGTATTTTAGTAATTTCTTCCCGATGCTTATCCTATGAATATTACTTTTTTAATGCATGCAGTCATTTTTCAAAAATTATGATCATCTATAGTCATATTCTTTGGCTAATAAGTAGCTACCATTTTGAATCTGTAAAGATCTTCACAGCACTTCTCTATAACAGCTATATAATAATCTAGGTGCTCTTCTTTTATCATGACCGGATTCAGAAATGTATGTTTGTATGTGTGTATATGTTATATGTACAGCCACGTGCAATAAGCTTTCTATTGCTATAAATATAACATGGTCTCATTTATCAGTAGTTCGTTATTGGATTTTGTATACATAGTGCTGTTGTATAATTCTTGTAATGGGTAAAAAACCTTCACTTGCTGTTGCATAATTCTTGTAATGGGTAAAAAACCTTCACTTGCTGTTGAAAAAATGGGCAAAAATAACGGCCCTGCATGACATTTTCTTTTCTGAACATAAAATAAGTTTGAACGTAAATGTCAGCAAGACAGGCGTGCATCAGTCTATCAGTATATTCAAAATTTCGGGAAATTATGTGGATCTTAAGAGAAGCGGTCGCCCAAGAAAAACTTGTCCACGTGATGACTATGTGATAAGAAGGATTATCACTTGATATCCAACAACCTCCTGCAATAAAATTAGAGTTGCTCTGGCTGCAAAGGATACCAACGTAAGTTCGAGTACTATTTCAAGACGTTTGACTAAAGATTATGGTTTATTTTCCTATAAACCTGCAAGAAAACCTCGACTCACTCAAAGTATGCAAAAGGAATGACTGATTCTAGCCAGACAATATCAGAATTGGACTGAACAATAGTGAAGTACAGTGTTATTTTCTGATGGGTCATGTGTGCAGCAATTTTCTGCATGCGCTAAATGTATTCGCCGCCCATTTGGAAAAAGATATGATGACAGATATACACTTCCGAGAGTGAAACACATTCTAAGCCAGATAATATGGGATGCTATGTCTGCATCTGGTACTGCTGCTGTATATTTCCTGCTACCTAAAACCACAATGAACAGCAATCAGTACCTTAACTTGTTACGTGACAAGTTGAAGTTTCACTTGGATGTTCAATTTTCATGCATGATGAGGCTCCATGTCACAGAGCAAGGAATGTTTAAGGACTATCTGAAGGCTACTCAAATCAAAGTGCTTGATTGGCCAGATAACAGCCCAGATTTGAATCCCATAGAGAATCTGTGATGTATTGTGAAAATAAAGTCGCAGAGAAGCTACCATCCAGTGCTACAGAACTTGTTGAAGCAATAAAGCATAAGTGGTGTACAGAGATTGCTCAAGACTGCCAGTCTCTTGTTCATAGCATGCTTAAAAGGATTGCAGCAGTGATAAAAAATTAAGGAGATCCAACAAAATACTGACTATACTACAATAACCTTGTAATTCTATTTTTTTTTTTTTTTTTTTTTCATTTATAACATATGTTTTTGTTGCAGAATTCCAATAGATCTGATTTTTCCGTGTGTGGTCTTAAACTTTTGCACACGAATGTATGTATACACACACATTTCTGAATCCGGACCCATTAACAGGAAGAGTACCATAATCTATATACCTATATATCATGCATACATGAACATATACATCCATAAATACATGCATACACACATACATACATTTCTGGATTTGGACCTGTTAACAGAAGCGTACCATAATCTATACACCTGTTATAAAGAAAAACCTTCAATCATATTAACAAATAAAACTGCTATGAAGTTTATAAATGATGCTAAGAGATAAGATACTTAATGGGAGCTTATTACTAAGTGTATAAGCTCTTATATGGGGTAAAAGTTAAACCAAAAGTGATGGCAAAGATGACAAAAGTTTATACAAAAACTTGCAAAAGTGTTACAAGAAAACAAAATACTATCTTTAAACATATTTATCCATCATTCTCTGTTATTTTCAACACAAAATTACAAATATTATAAATTTTATAATGGATGTAACTGCATTTTACAAACGAACTGAGAGTGCTAGTACAGTGTGACTGCGAAATCCTTTTACATCTAAGCTAAATGCATGTAACAGTGTAAGGTATTTAAGATTTGAACTTCCCATCCTGACCATTGATATGGCAACAGCGCTCCTCACATGAATTTCAAAGTGGTTGTTGCATAACTGCTACATGGCTAGCCTGGGATTGAAATAAAATCTGTGCACTGACCAGTTCATTATTTCATCTTTCTGTGCTTGGTGAAGAACAATGGCAGATATCAGCAACTTCACTTTGAAGGAGTGCTCAGAGATAAGTATGCGAGTTCATAATGGAAGAACTGCCATGGAAATATGACACAGGTGACGGACTGATTTTGTGAACAGTTCAGTAAGGAGTCACCAACTTGTCAGATGTTAGAGAAGAAAGATTCTTGCCTGGGAAGTGCTTCAGATGGCCTCTGTGCTGGTCATTCATCAATCCGAAGGAAAACATGCTGAATTTAATGCATCGGTGATGCATTCACATTGCAAGTCAGCCAAAAAGCATGCCCCATAACTTGGAATTAAAATTAGCACAACGCAGCTTTACAGGAAAATTGATTTAATCCTGTAAGCATTCTGGCCAATGGCCATCAATGAACTAATGGATGATGACTTAAACTGCTACCAGGAAGCATGCAGAATCTTGTTAGAGGCATTCCCCACCATTCTTGCTCAGAAGTGCATTATTTTCTATCATGAATGCCCTGTGGGGGGATCATCAAATCATATGTCAGGCAAGAGCAGTATGTGGACAATGTTCTGCAGGAAAGTGTGCTTGAAGCCTTTAAGGATACGACATTATAACTGCTGAAGTGGATGAGTAGGAGGATATTCAAATGTATCAAGCTGTGCAGGGATAAAGGTGATACACATACAGATATTTGGACAAATAACTTCAGTGTTATTAAAGTTACAATGAAATAACTGCACGTGTAAAGGGACTTTTTAGCCACTCCGTAATTAGAAAATTAAACCTATGTAACAAATGAAAGATTTCAGTATCAAAAATTCCAGAATTAAATCTATGCAAGTTTAAATATCAACGTAAAAACTATATATAAATGACACTTTTCCTTTAAAGTCATACCATGCATTTTTAGCACTATACTGCTATGCTTTTTTTTTTTTTTTTTCCCTTTTCCTATGTATTTGGCTCAATACTACACACTTTTCCCCTTTTTTCACTTCTTTTTTTTTTATGTGTTTGCACAGGTGATGGTTAGAAAGACAGTTATTGGTAGGCAATAATCCAAATGAAAGTGGCAATGCCAGGGTTGCCACTCAAACAGGAGAATGAAATTCCCTGACTTTTCCAGGTGTGTTTCAAGAAAATTCCAGTCTATCCACGTAATGTACGTTGGCTGTGCTAAGAGGTAAATTAATTATGGTATTACTTGTATTGTGTAGCAAATTCACTTAATTATTCAGTAAATCCCAGAGGACATTTATTCTTAATTATTCTTGGTATACTTTGTTTGATAATTTTGTTTAGTTTTCCACTTAAGAAACTTAATAAAATTTAAGATATATATATTGGATAACAAATGTATGTTTTATTTAATTATTACTCATGATCATCACCAGTTTAACACGAAGCTAATCCGGTCCTTATAAATCACAATGCAATGCTAAATAGTTAAGTTAGATTTTAGGTAAATTTAATTTGCGTGAGGTATGTTCTTAAAAGGCACCTTAACACTTGAAAACACAAATATAATTATAATAGTTGTTGTTTTCTCCACTGAAGATTGAGATTAGAATCTTCCCAATCTGGAATAAAATAAGGCTTTTTTTGCAGACATTCTGCAGCTAAACGAAAGAAAGAAATCTATTTTAATAAATTGAGGTATTTATATTATTTTTGCAGCATACATAAGGAAAAAATATGTGCATTAAATTTCGTGATGGTATGTCATCATACTGCTATAATTAATTTCAGGATTATGCCAGAGAAAATTTCCTGAAATTTGGAAATATTATTTACTAATGATAAATAAATTTAGAGGGAAGAAGCAACATTAAATTATATGAATAACATAAAAATAATTACTTAAAAATTGAATTAGAATAATCAACGATATTTTAGGGAATATAGTTATATTACATGGCTAGCCTAGATGACTGATTACTATTTTTTTATTTTACTGCAAAGTGGCAAGGTATTTATTAAAAGAAAAAAAAAAAAAAAAAAAAAGGTTTAAAAAGATTTTGCGGTAAAATTCTAGTATACGGTAAGGCTTTGGCACGATTTTGAAAATTGTCGCCAAGACCAAAATGACCCGTTTACTGCGCATCAAGATGTCGCCAAATCCCATTATTATCTAATCAAAGAACGTCTATGTAAAGAAGAAAAGGTTCCATACAAGTAAAATGCTATTACGCCGCTAGAATGCGGAGGGAAAATTTGCCAAGGGATTTGGCGACGGAACCTGGCGGCCAGAATTTCCCTCTCCGCGATGTGTACAGGAAATTGAGAAACACGTGTTAAGAAGAAACGCTTTTTTGACAAAAAGAAAACTACGAAAATCCGTTTTTAAATTATTGCGAAAAAATCCAAGAAGAAACGTTTTATCAAAGGACGTTTCTTCTTGGATTTTTCGCAATACTTTCTCACCATTCCATCACTTATCACGTATTCACCGTAAACTTCTGTCACTTGACGATAAATATCGGCCGGTTTAATATTCCTCGCGTTCAAAAATTTAATCACTGCACGAATCTCACAGTCGGCGGGAGAACTAATTGTCTTAAACATTTTGAATGTGCACAGCAAACTGAAAACACAGCATAGAGCAACCAAAAATGGCGACAATTGAAAGTCAGTGAACAAGAAAGACTAGTGCGCATGCGCGGGAAGCCTACCACAGCGCTGCAACGGCACTAGAATGAAACGGTACTTAGTTTCCGAATACGCTACGTATTAAGTAAAAATACAAAATCACAAACATCACTTACTTAAAAATTTGGATAAGGTTGGATTGTTTAATTTAGACAAGCTACATATAAATTACCAACTCCATCCCAGTTTAAAATAGGGAAGGAATACAAAGGTCATGAACTTCTCTTACCACAAAGAATGTCCACATCTTATCGAGGATTTAAACCTGGACCCGATGGTATAGGTGTTTGTTTAACTGCGATAACCACCATGCTATTTAGAATGGAATTGTTTGTTGTAAAGAAAGCTAATAAATTATTTCAGCATAAAAGTGATAAAACGTGGAACTTCTTAGTTTGGAGAATGAAACAAAGAACATGAGCTAAAGAAAAAGCTAAAAACAAATCTCAATTCATTGAAATTGAAGGAAGAAGGCGAAAAACTCAAGCAATCGAAAATTTAAATTATCGAGACTCTCTTCAAATTATACCTAAAAATAACCTTAGATTGAAAATATACTCATGACTATATTTAACAAAACAAACCAGATATCAATGCATATATTAAATGGCAGAAATTATTTTGAAACACAAAAACTGTTAAAACAATTAAAATTGCAAAATTCAATTATACAAATGAGCAAGATACACACAAAGTTTATACATGCACATAAGAAAAATGCTTCATAAAGTGATATGAAATGATATAATTTTGATGGAGAATTTGATGCATACCGAACAGTAATAATGAAAGTTAACAAAATGTTTTCTTTGCATTTGATAATTTTTTTTCCCTTCAACAGTGCGTATATTGCATGAAACTATTCATGTAAATAGTCTAACAAAAAATATTTTAAAGACTTTTGGTTTCCTAAGAAAATTATACTAAATGCTTTAAAATGCAATAAAGAAATATAAAATGCAAAACACCTCAGTTTTGATTTATTCCAAATAAAAATACTTAGTTCAAACAAGTACATTTTTAAATACTCACAAGATTGTAATTACTTATGAGGATAATCAGATGAACTAGAAAACAAGAAGAAAAGCACACATTTCTTCACATTTAAGGATTCTACAAAGTGATTTAGTGAGTGACATTTCACTTAAATGATTAATAAAGAAATGTGAAGACAAAATTTCAGCATCTTGGGGGGGGGGGGAACATTGATTTGTCAAACATTTTTATTTAATGAAAATTTGAGGTGTTAGGCAAGAATTAGTTTTTAACAAATTTCACCTGTGGGAAAGAGTAAATTTGACTTTTCAAAGTTCTACCTTATATTAAAATAAAGAAATATAATCTAATTTCTCATATCTTCAATATTAACAAAATAATTTCATTAAAAATCATAAAAAAATTACTTCAGAAGCAGATCCCAGTTCTTTATCAATGGCAAATACTGGAATATCTTCAATAGGAAGATCTTCTGTGATGATGTTAATTCCAGGTGATGAACTTCTCACTGGAGAATCAGAAACTGTATTTTCATGAAGACTGATATCCAGAGATGTTTCAATAATCACATCAAAAATATTTTGGTCCACAGAAATTAAAGAGATGATTTTTTTCTGAGATTGAAAAGTTTAAAAAGAGGATGATAGTTACTAATATGGTTTTCATAAAACAGATCTGAACACAACAAGAAAAAAAAGTGCTGGGTTGTATATGCATTACAGTCAAAAGTCGTTAATCCGGACTCGTCGGGACTTCGGCGATTCCGGATTATCGATTTTTCCGGATTATAGATCATCAGTTTAAATCTCGTAAGATGGCATGCAGAAATTCTAAAATTAAAAATATGAAACCGTAATTTATGAAATAAAGAACAATTATGATCTAAAGGGTATCAAAATTTGCAAAAAGAAAAAGCTTAATATTTATTTGTTTACTTTATTAAACATTTCTTTCAATGTAAGTTGTTTAAGTTTTGCTTCGTTTCATGTGATAATACTTTCTCTTTAATTCTATTAAACAGACATAATTTCTTGTTCAGTTACAAAGTTCCGCTGTTCAAGTCCTATAATTGCTGTGTCGAGAACACCGACTAATTTGTCAATCGAAATTTTTTCGTTTTCAATAACCTCTGTCACTTTTCTTCGCTATCGGAAGCGAATTATAATGACGAGGAACTTGTTTTAAATCATATCAAAGACGGAGCATATCGAGATGAAATACTACATTTGGTAAAGAAATTATAAGCCAAATAAAATAAAAACATCTGCGCTGAAGATAAGGATAGTGTTGACAGATCAACTTCCAATTCATTACGTCGCGGCGTTCCCCCCGCCGAGCAGCGTGAAATTGATAAACAGATTTCGGATTTCAAAACATACTTTCGCTTTAGATCCTTTACATATTAACAAATATATATCGGAAATTCTATTTGATATAATCGAAAGTTTAAGCTTACTTTTATAAAATTGCTCTTACAGTCTGCAAAAAATAATAAGCCGGATCCAATTCGAAAATTAAGGAACAACGCAATTATCAACATTAACTGAAATAGATAATTAGATAATTTTAGCTTATACGTCCATCATACATAAAACGCGCACGCGAAAACGTATTCTGCACTTACGCACACTCATATGCGCAGTCGTAAAAGGTCTTACGCGCACGCGCAAACGCCTATGCGCATGTGTCAACGCGGCGCATGCGCAGAAAGTTTTTAGTTTTGAGGTCCGGATTATAGATCATTCCGAATTATGGTGTCCGAATTAACGACTTTTGACTGTAGTTGTCACCTAATACAATCCCAAACAAACTCTGTTCTCCTCTTTGATATGTACTGATAAGTGCCGGCTGATGCATAAGTATCAAAGTTGCAATCAATTAAAGCACACTGCGCGCACACACAAAAAAAAGGGGGGGCAGTTCTATATCTCTTGTTCTACTTGATTGACAAAATTCAAATTGCGATTTTCATGTCTCGAAAGCGTGACTTAGGATATATATTAGATTTATTTATAGCACTATTCTATTCTAACATAGGTATTCTGACACAAAATAGGACATTTTCTGAAATAACATACCAATTTTTTTTACATATTTTGATTCTACGACTCAAATTATGCCAGAATGCCAAGTTTTGTAAAAACGGTACGAGTAGTTTTTAAAATATTAGCTCTCAAAACTTTAGCTCCTCAATGCTAATTGAATTTGGCATATGCTTATTAATATCTCTTTTTTTTTTTATTAAACTTTTCTGATTTTTTCCTTTCACATTTCGAAATTTAGGTTCATTCCAAATAAAATTCACCCATTTTTTGTGTTTTATTTTAAAAATTTCTATTTTTAAATAATTTTCATAAATTTTTTGAAACAAATTTTAAATTATAACCTTTAAAATTTTTAGCATTATCTTATTATTAGGTGTAGTTCTAAGCATACCTGCAAAAAATTTAAGTTTTTTTTATTCAAAATTTTCTAAGACATACAAGAATTTACATATTTTTGCATTTTGAAATTTGGCATCATTTTTTTTAGAGATAACGCCAAATGTGGTTTATGGATTTTTGTTACAGTGAATTACTACAGCTATTTTTAACCTTAAATTTTAAATAAATTTTTAGGGAGAATTAATTATATGAAATTTTTTCCCTCAATGATGCATAATAAATATTTATTAATAGTATATGAAAAGCTATTTTTTTTAAATTATAGATATTATTCAAATTTTTACCTTCTTTTCTAAATTTCTTTCTTTTTTAAAAAAATATTTGTAAGCGTAAATTTTTACCTTTACCGTATTATCATCTGCTACTTTGCTTTGACTGCATTTAAATTGAATTGTCTAAAACTGAGAAAGTTCGTTTGATGTTTGTTTTCACAATGTTTTTAAGCAAACAGAATGTTATTAGTTTGGGTCATGTCCCAGTTTTAAAAATGATATATATAAGCATAAATTTTTCAATTAATTCTCTTCAAAAGAATGTTTTAAGTAGCTAATTTTCTCTCGTGTTATAGATTGTATAAAAAACATAATCTTTAATATGATTTAGATTGTTTGTAGCCGATATAATAATCGGGCCACTCAGTGGTACAGAATAAACATTGCTGGACTGTTTTATTTCTTTGTCATTTAATAAAAAATCTTTTAATTAAAATATTTATTCTTTGGACTTTGCCTTAAACTTTATTTATAGTTAAAATTGCCTAGAAAATGAATTTCTTCAACTGAAATGCAGTTGATATAACTGATATTAAAAAAATAATGACAAGAATGCAAAATTTATGGAAGTGTAACAATCGAAAAATCTTAATTTTCTTGTGGTGAGCACTGAAAATAAATGTAGTAGGAAAGCAGAAAATTAGGGAGAAAAGTAAGCAAAAATTTGAAGGGGAATTTGGCTATCAGAAATACCAAGGTGTTTCGAAAAGTTGGATGCTTTTGAATATACTTTCAGAATAGTTCAAAGGAATTTGGGTGTTCAAAGAGAAAACACTTGGGACATGTACACCAGTAAATACCATCAATTGAGCTTGTGCTAACGGAAAAGACAAAAAGGATGTCATTGCAGTGTGACGATTAGACATATGCACCCCTCGGACTTCCAGGTGCTTAATGAGAACTTCCTGTTTTGTTCAGAGACAAAATGGTTTCCGGCAATAAGGGACTAATTATTCTCTTTTCAGGTTTCTTAACAAAATGCAGAGAGAGCTTTGTGTAACTAGTTTTTTTGATGCTGTAAACGAGAGGAAGCGGATGCATTTTTGGCTTCCTTGCTGCGCCAGTGGCTTTTGTTTAATTTATGGCTGTAATGATTCAGTTATTTTACTATTTAATCAAGAATTTCTAATTAAGTTTTTAAAATAAATATTTTAAAAGATAACCTGTCTTTTCTTGCATCCAACACGGGTGTTCTGATGTTACAGCAGATTAAAGTGAAGAGCGACTGGTTTTTGACTATATGTTTGTATAAATTTAAATTACATTACAGAACATCATAAACGGATAATCCTATGACTTCTTAGTCAAATTATTTGAATACTCAGGAATTTATCCTGTGATGTATGTGAATGTCATCTAAAGACGTTTTCCCTCTTGATGAAACCAGTCTTTCCTTTCATGTCATGCTTTAAAATCCTAAGTTAAGCATGTTATCCTAAGTTAAAATGTCGGTTATACATCTTTCTCATTTATATATCTTTTCTGAATAGAACATTGAAAGGTGTGTTAACTGTGCTTTACTGTATTTTGTCTTTTAATATATTCAGTTTTCAGATGCATCATAGTCTGAGACACAAAATTTTCTCAATTCAAATAAATAAAATCCTGAAAATTTATATTAATAAATATATTTAAAATGCTCGGCTTGAATGAATAAATAGAAAATTTGAAGAGATTAATGCAACACAAACAATTAAAATAAAAGTCTAAAAATTAAAAAACGATGCACCTTATATTTAAACTACACAGTTCAAATGGGTAAATACAAATTTTTAAAACAGTTATTCAAAAGAAACCATGCAACTTAAACAATTAAAATGAAATTCGAAAAAGAAAAAATTACTTAAAATAATAACAATTATAATTCAAAATTTAATATAAAGAACATTATTTGAAAAAAGGAACGATTGTGACTTGAACCAAGTGAACTATTCTTGGCGCAAACTGAAAAAAAAAGTGGCAACATAAATTTGTGAATTTCTCTGTAAATTTTGCACCAAATTATACAAAATTTCATATTTGGGCATAATTTGAGTCGTAGAATCGAAATATGTAAACAAATTGGTATGTTATTTCAGAAAAAGCCAGATTTTGTGTCAAAATACCTATGTTAGAATAGTGCTATATATAAATCTAATATACATCCTAAGTCGTGCTTTCAAGACATGAAAAACGCAATTTGAATTTTGTCAATCGGCCCATTAGAATGGGAGATATAGAACCAGGGTTGCCACTCAAACAGGAGAATGAAATTCCCTGACTTTTCCAGGTTTTCCAGGTGTGTTTCAAGAAAATTCCAGTCTATCCGTGTAATGTACGTTGGCTGTGCTAAGAGGTAAATTAATTATGGTATTACTTGATTGTGTAGCACTTCACTTAATTATTCAATAAATCCCAGAGGACATTTATTCTTAATTATTCTTGGTATACTTGGTTTGATAATTTTGTTTAGTTTTCCACTTAATAAAATTTAAGATATATTCATTGGATAACAAATGTATGTTTTATTTAATTATTACTCATGATCATCACCAGTTCAACACGAGGCTAATCCGGTCCTTATAAATCACAACACAATGCTAAATAGTTAGGTTAGATTTTAGGTAAATTTAATTTGCGTGAGGTATGTTCTTAAAAGGCACCTTAACAATTGAAAACACAAATATAATTATAATAGTTGTTGTTTTCTCCACTGAAGATTGAGATTAGAATCTTCCCAATCTGGAATAAAATAAGGCTTTTTTTGGCAGACATTCTGCAGCTAAACGGAAGAAAGAAATCTATTTTAATAAATTGAGGTATTTTATATTTATTTCGCAGCATAGATAAGGAAAAAATATGTGCATTAAATTTCGTGATGGTATGTCATCATACTGCTATAATTAATTTCTGGATTATGCCAGAGAAAATTTCCTGAAATTTGGAAATATTATTTACTAATAATATAAAAATTTAGAGGGAAGAAGCAACATTAAATTATATGAATAACATAAAAAATAATTACTTAAAAATTGAATTAGAATAATCAACGATATTTTAGCGAATATAGTTATATTACATGGTTAGCCTAGATGACTGATTACTATTTTTTTATTTTACTGCAAAATGGCAAGGTATTTTATTAAAAAAAAAAAAGGTTTAAAAAGATTTTGCGGTAAAATTCTAGTATACGGTAAGGTTTTGGCACGATTTTGAAAATTGTCGCCAAGACCAAAATGACCCGTTTACTGCGCATCATGATGTCGCCAAATCTCATTATTATTCTAACCAAAGAACGTTTATGTAAAGAAGAAAAGTTCCATACAAGTAAAATTCTATACGCCGTTAGAATGCGGAGGAAAAATTTGCCAAGGGATTTGGCAACGGAACCTGGCGGCCAGAATTTCCCTCTCCGCGATGTGTACAGGAAATTGAGAAACACGTGTTAAGAAGAAACGCTCTTTGACTTAATTGCTGTTATACACTGAAGTGCCATATATGCATGTACATTAACCTAAAATATATTAGAAGTTACATAGGAGCACAGAAATGCAGAAACATGGATACTCTTAGTTTGTGACTTGAGCAGACCAAGTCTACGAATCTTATCATGGCAAAGAGTGCAAGTTTGACTGTCATTGTCATGTGCCTTGAGCACCATAGAGGTGGCAGTATGGGTATGCCCAGCTCCATCCCAATTTTGATGGAAAGTACCACGAGGGATGGGCCGAGGATATCGCTTCCCCTACTACCAAACTACTCAAGAAGTTCACCATGTATTTTATGCACACATGCTGCACAGACACTGTACATAAACATCACACTTTCTTTGGCATTCTAATGGAAGCCCAATGATACAACAACCATGAGCTCTAATCACTGTATCAATCAGGTTGGCACAGTTTTCTGCTGAAACTGGAGTCCAAGGTTTCATGAGGTTTTCTACACCAAAATCTTTTTTTATCACCTTTGAACAGTTAGAAATGTGACTGGTTGAAATTGACTATTTGTTACCAGTCATCAAATGTCTGATGTCAAAATTGCTGAGCTAGGTAAGCTGTAATATATAGCTCTGTGGTGTGCATTATCAAGGGTACTACAGTTGAGTATTGGTTTTTAAAGCCTGTATAACGAAAGGTACATTCTGCAATTCTCTTACTGATGTTTGATGAGGTTCCAACACTGAATTCTAATATCGCTTAAGGTAATTTTGAACCTTTATCAAGTGAAATGATCTTTGCCAGCTAATGTTCAGATCATTCAGAGTCTTTTTTACAGTTATATCATAGTTATAAGCTCAAAGCCTAGCTAAAATTTTTGCTGTCATGAAATATATGTGAAAATCCAAATTTTGATATTACATCTGCAGTACTATGACTAATTTCATGAGCTCCATTTATTAGACTGTACTAAAAATCATTAAAACTGTGAATATTTTTGCATTAATCAGGCAAGAAATAGCTCTTGAAGCTAACACAGATGTCTGTCCTTTTTCATAAGTATAGTGGAGTAACAAGTGACATGCAAAAGCAGTGTTATAATAGATATTCCATATAAGTTCACATTTGTACTTTTTTTGGGGCTTTCCAGAGTGTATATTAAATTACAGCTAATTAAAACAGTAACTAGGATTGAAACTAATATTAATCAAAATAAATGAAAATAAGATTATAATCTGAAATAAACATGTTACACATCACACTTACTTCATACCAAAGTGCATAATAGACAGCATTTAAAACATCTTTCATAAATTACAGTAATGGTGCAATTTTTTATTAAAAATTACTTGATATATTATAAATCTCATGAATCAGATATATAATAAATTACATCAATTACAAATATCATTAGGGAGAAAAAATGGATAAATTATCAAGAAGAATAATATTATAAGTATAAATAATATAATGTTTGAAATTATATTTTAAATTACATACAGTTTTATATTATATTACAAAATTATATATTATTATAAATTACATAGTTAAATTATACATTGTTGAATAATAAAGTTTAGATTATATTTGTTTTTAAATCGTTGAGTTCATTATTTAATTATTTTAATTTTAAGCAATTCATTATTTTAATTTGAAGGACTAATTTAAGATCTTATGCAATATTAAATGGTGATACTTATGAGAAATAACCCAGATTTCACAGATAATAATTTCATGTCTTGTAGATCAGCAACAGATGCTAGGCCGCATGGATAATAAATGCTCTTGCATGATAATGCAGTAAAATGGAGAATAAGCTAAAAATATTTTTAATATAAAAATTTTAAAGCATATCATAAAAATATGTGGCATTTTAAAGTTCAGGTTTATATATCATTAATGTGGTATGGAAGCCTGAATAACCACAGTTTTTTAGGCTGTGCCTATATTATTTCACTTGTAGCAAATAAATCTAACGAACACATTAAAAATACTTTTGGAATATGTCAAATTAAGAAAAATGATTAATTAATGAGAATGGTTCATTAAAGTACTGTAATTAATACATAAAAAAACTTCACTAATTTGTTCATACTTACAAATATATCTGCTTGAGGAGTACCTAAAATTAAAAACTTAAATTTTGTAAGATGATCTGTGAAATCCTTATTTGCTGCCTTAAATTTAGAAAGTCCATCATTCATAAACCACAAATCAATACAGTTATTTTGTTTCAAAAAGTTTTTCAGCTGCAAAACATTCTTATCAAAAGAATTCTCATCCACCTCTCTAAAATGTTCTAGATACTTATTATGAAATTGAATTACATCTTCATCTGTTACTTCATATTCTAAATTATCCTAAAAATATTAAAATAAGTGAAAATGTTTAATATATCAATTTAATTAGGTTATTAATGAAAGCAAATTACATATGAAGGATTATCAGCTAAACATAGAATATCAAAATAATACCCAATAATCAATACTATAAAAATAATACTCAACATAGAGTATAATAAATTGAGATAAGTTTTGATAAAAATAAATAACACTATCTTAAAAGTGTTTCTGCTATAGCTACCAAGCTCAAAATGTGAAAAATGGTAGGTTTCCATGTTGTATGGTGATGTGACTTGACTCAATATACAAATCAGGTTTAATTTGGGATTTTAATTTAATTATAAATAATTTCAGCATAAAATAAATAATTTTTTTATTCTAATATTTATAGTTTGGCTAACTACATTCAGTTCTATAATTTTCTTAATATTTTTTAAAAATGAAAACCCCAAAAGGAGAAAAAAAATTTTATTTATCAAAGTCATTTTAAACATGATGAAAATAAGTTTAATCATTAAATGGTGCAAAATGCAAAAAATAGACTTTGCAATGTACCTTTTAAACAAGATTTTAAAAAATTGCTAACCTATCGCAGATTACTTATAAAATTAAATATAAATATTTACCTATTAAATCAGTTAAGCCTTCCAAAATGTTCTACAAATATACTACTAACATAATACACTATACATAACATACTAATCTGTATAAATATACTACTGGACATAAAAAAAAAAAAAAAAAAAAAAAAAAAAAAAACTGCTACACCATGAAACAAATATCAGATTTGCATAAAAGGTATTGCATGCTGGGATATGCAAATCATCAGCATTCTAGCCAACGTGCACAAAGCAGGTATGAGTAATGCCAGCTACATTGTGCATAAATTGGTCATTACATTTCTGACATGTTACGGCCAGTGGCTGTGACTTATCTCACATGGCTGACAGTAATATTAGAACAAGCCCACGGATTTCATCGTGGCAAGGAGTGCAAGACGGCATCTGTCATTGACAAAAGCCTTGAGCGCCATTTATATGACAGTATGAATTTGCTTCCTTGCACCCCCAATTTTGATGGAGAGCACCTCGGTGGTGACAGTTCCAAGGGTCTGCCCCTCATATCACCAACCTCTTGGCTCACTGCATATTTAGAGTGCTCCCAAGCTGCACAGACATTTAGTGACATCCCGGAGAAGGTATTTAAAAACATTCATGCCTTTTCCGGGATTTGAATGCGGGCCTTCGGTACGGCAGTCAGCATCACTAACCACTATCCTGGTTGGGCAGCTTCTCTGGTATGTTAAAGCCACATGGGATGAAGTACACATATCTGTCATCTATGTTCATTTGACTCAATGTCTAGCTGATTATAGTTGTTGTTACTGCCAGAGATGGTAGCTCTGTGTACTGAATTCTGCATGCTGTGTACTCTAAACCACTTTCAAATTTAATCATATCTTCCTCCTATTATACTGCAAATGTACAATAAGGCTCTAAAATTTGCTTTTCATCTTAGTATAGCAATTTTAATGGCCAGCAGTATATTGAAAAAGTCTGGATCAAAATAAAACTTAACCAGAAAAATTATGCTGAAAAATAAATTGGAGGAAAAACTGAATTTCTGCAGTTTATGTGTCATTTAGAAATGGCAATATCATTGCCTGCCCCTTTTTCCTTTTTTTAAAGAATTTTTTATCAAAATTTATTTCATAATTTTTTTATTGAAAAATTCTTCAACAGTTCTTTCAGTACAAAGTCTGAAATATATGATCTATATTCAGATAAATTAACATGTTGATTGCCATGGCACTTTTCAGATTCTGGTCCGAGAAGCCAAATCGATTTGATCATATTATATTTTTCAAAATACTAATTATGATTCGTAACAATCATTAAAAAGTTAACAAGATTTTTTTTTATAGAAAAAAGGGTCCTACGAATTATCTCGTAGTTGGCTTTTGTTACACAAAGCTCTTCACAGAAGCCCACTATGAGTTGATTTTTACAGATATGCTTCGACTTGTCGCCTCGGTACAGCTAAAACAAGCACTGAGCGAGTAAGTGACTTGCAGCAACACAAAAGTGGAAAGTCAAGAAACTATGAGATAACTTGTATTGGGCGTCCTGAAGAAGAGTGCTAATACGAGTTCTCTCATGTTGGGTGGTCAATGTGTTAGAAACCAGAAAATTCGGAAATTTACCAGAAGAACAGAAGATAGGAGAAAAATTAAGAGATCCCTCTCCACAAATGCTTCCTGATGTCTGAAAGTATTCATAGAAACTTGCACGCATTTATTTTTACACGTGAGATCTTGGCTTTTAAGAATAAGTCATTTTTCAAGATTTGAGAAAATTCAGGTTTCTTTCTATTTTTCCTTTCTTTTTAAAATTTCACTTTTGCTCAGGTAATCCTCAAATCCCTTAACATGCCAACCAACTACAGCAAAGCAGAACGGAAAAAAATATAGAAATGATGTTTTTCTCACATAATTTTATTACACTTTTGCCAGTTATTTATAATGCCCTTTATGCTCATGTACTTGATGCTTATTGTTCCACTATTCCAAGAAAAATAAAAACTTGAATAATTTATCCTGGAATATAAAAGATAAACAAACACATATTAAAAATTGCATACATTGAGAATTATTACGTGAACAAGATTTTAAAAATGCTTATTCACTTGAAATAATACATATTTTATTCTTCTTCTGTTAAGGTATCTAGCGGTGCCAAATATCACAATTTTTTTAAAATTCCATTTATTAATAGATATAAACAAACTTTGTTTCCTGATGTCTGAAATGATACATCTAAATTACTATGCAAAACATGTCTAAATATATGGCATATATTCAAAAATGGTTTTTGAAGGCTTTTGTTGTTGCTAAATGCTCACTGTTTGACCTATAGTCACCCAAGCCACGAAATTCGTGGCAAGGGCACAAGTTTATGCCTGTCGTTGTTTTATGTGCCTTGAGCACTTTACAGATAAGAGTGTGATTTAGCTGAGTTCCATTCCCATGCAGAGCACCCTGGGAGACAGTTCTGAGGGTCACCCACCCCTCTGCCCCCACAACCCTTCAAAAAAGGGCTTTTGGCCGCAATTTATTTATGCTCCCATGCCGCATAGACACTATTTTACATTTGCAAACATCAGTGCCTTCTCCGGGATTCAAACACAGGCCCTTTAGCACGGCAGTTAGCGACGCTAACCACTATACCAGTTAAGCAGCTTCAAAGGCTGTTTAAAACCTATATGTTTGGTTTAAATTAATTTTGATTATTTATACTTAAAAAAATCACCTTCATTTCCCTTTAAAATTTTCTTTTGCTGTTACTGCGTAGGATAAATTTGTTTCAAAAAGGATCATTATCAGAGCTAAGTTAATTTAATATACATGCAAAACAGTAAGTTTAAGCAGTGTGCAGAAAGACAGGATTGATCATTGAAATTTAGTTAGTAACAGGAGTGGGAAGATAGAATCAAGAATTCTTTATTTCATAATTATACCTTTTGGGGGACTAAATACAACACTATGATACCATAAACCATATGATACCATAATTTCTGAGAGAAACTTCATTAACAATTTATTGGAATTAAGAGAGAAAAGAAACATGTCTAAATGAAACAAATAATTATGCAAAGGCACAGATTTTATCAAGATCTGATTTCGAGGGCAATCGGGTACAGGTCCCTCTTCATAAGGAACAAAGAAATTATGCAACGAAGGGAAGAGCCTCAGACAGGGTAATATAATTTTAAAAGCATTAGGGAGGAATGGATTGCAATTAAAGTCATTAACTAAACAAGATAATTTTTTGTGAATATGAGCTTCAAGGAATCCATTTCATGAAACAAAGAAGCATTTTGGATAATTTTTGCAGACTCAAAGTCAAAACTGTGTTCTAATTTCCAACTATGATTAGCTATTGAAGATTTGCTTAGTTCTTCTTTTTAAACACGATTCATATTCCATGATGACAAACCTTAACCTTTTTTTAGTTTGGGCGATCCAAATGTCTCCCATGGTCATTGATAGTCTTTAAAACATTTTCATCTTGCCACTAAACAAAACATTCCGATGTTAGAAATAACATTTATAACCTTGTCATTCTTCCATGTCTTCTTCTGTCAATAACAAAATTGCTCAGATTTTCCAGACGTTCAGTTTTCCAGACATTTTCTCACCTATCAACGAAATCCATAATTTAATTCTTAAAGATTCCATTTCTGACTTTAATTCTTGGGGAATTTGCAGCATATATTGTCTCTGTGGTTTGAGACATATCAGCTAAACTAAAAGAGCATTAAAGTTTTGTATTAAGAAGCACAAATCTTATGTCTGAATAGAAGAAATAAACAAATCTTCGACAGTTAACCAAAAATTATCCAAAATGGTTCTTTGTTTCATGAAATGGATTCCTTGAAAAAAAATATTAAAAAAAAAATTATCTTGTTTAGTTAATGACTTTAATTGCAATTCATTCCTCCCTAATGCTTTTAAAATTATATTACCCTGTCTGTGGCTCTTCCCTTCGTTGCATAATTTCTTTGTTCCTGATGATGAGGGACCTGTACCCGATTGCCCTTGAAATCAGATCTTGATAAAATCTGTGCCTTTGTCGAAGTTGGAAGTTAAATCACAATTTTTACTGTGCATCTGCAAAAGCTACCCAAAAAGCTTCTTCAGTTGGGAAAATGGATTTCTTAGAAGCTTGTATTCATGAAAATTCATCTTTTTCATCCACGAAATCTTATTTCCAATTCAGTCCTCCCTAATGACTTTAAAATTTGATTAACTAAATTTCACCCATTATTACTAGTTCTGTGAACAGATAGTGCTACCTTTTTGTTTGCTTTACATTGCTTTGGGTATAAATATGGCCTTCATTGCACAATTTCTTTGCTCCTGATGAAGAGGGGCCTATACCTTTTCACCCTTAAGATCGACACAGTCTTAGTTAAAATCTATGCCGAACATAAGGTTGTTGCTTTGCTTAAACTGTTAATTTATTGGAATATTTGTTTAAACAACTGCAGTCAAAAGTCGTTAATCCGGACTCGTCGGGACTTTGGCGATTCCGGATTATCAATTTTTCCGGATTATAGATCATCAGTTTAAATCTGGTAAAATGGCATGCAGAAATTATAAAATTAAAAATATGAAACCATAATTTACGAAATAAAGAACAATTATGATCTAAAGGGTATCAAAATTTGCAAAAAAAAAAAGCTTAATATTTATTTGTTTACTTTATTAAACATTTCTTTCATTGTAAGTTGTTTAAGTTGCTTCGTTTTTTATGTGGTAATACATTCTCTTTAATTCTATACACAGACATAATTCTTGTTCAGTTACAAAGTTCTGCTGTTTCAAGTCCTATAATTGCTGTGTCGAGAATACCGACTAATTTGTCAATCGAAATTTTTTCGTTTTCAATAACCTCTGTCACTTTCTTCGCTATCGGAAGCGAATTATAATGTTCCACTTTTTGTTTAATGGACTGCGAAAGATACTTTCGCTTTGTATATCCTTTACATGTTAGTAAATATATATCGGAAATTCTATTTGACATAATCGAAAGTTCAAGCTTACTTTTATAAAATTGCTCTAACAGTCTGCAAAAAAATAATAATCTGGATCCAATTTGAAGATTAAGGAACAACGCAATCTGCAACATTAACTGAAATAGATAATTAGATAATTTTAGTTTAGCTTATCCCGTCCGTTATACATTAAACACACATTCGTAAACGTATTTTGCGCACGCGCAAATTCGCAGCGGTAAAGGTCTTACGCGCATGCGTCAACACGACGCATGCGCAGAAAGTTTGTAGCTTTGAGGTCCGGATTATAGATCATTCCAGATTATAGGTGTCCGAATTAACGACTTTTGACTGTATAAAAGAAAATTTGCAATTTAGTCCTCTGTCTTATTCAGAGATACATGTTGGAATTTTAATTATTACACAAGAGTTTCTCTTTTACTTGTTCACTAGCTTTATAAAAACTGCCAAAATAACCATAACAAAACATTAACTAAATTGCAACTAGAAATTAATCAAGTAGTAAATTAACTTACATTTGCTGCTTTCAGTTGTCCAAGGCATAATTCTAAGGCTAGTGACAGATCTTTAGAGTTCAAGAATGTAAGTCGTTCTTTTTCAAAAATATTAAACTTCTGAGCCATATTTAATGCATAATGTGTTAATGGAAGGCTCTCATCAAATCCCTTAACATCTATGCAATGCAATAAAATAATACCTAAAAATGCAATCATTAAAAATTAATAAATTGTAACTTATTACATAATAGGATAAGTACTGTATACAATAGAAATATATAAAATTTCCTGTATAATAAACTACAATACTTCAAACCTGAAAAAATAAATGTAGACTATTTAATATAAAGAAACAAACTTGTTTTTTTGAATTTACCTTTGAGTTATATAATATATAAACTCACATATGTGAGTTTCAGTTGCATGATTTAGTTACGTGGACTTTTTTCAGTAAAATCTCAGAATGTTTAAAAAATCAGCAGATAAATGATGTAGTCTATTGATGTTAAAAGAAAACTTAAACTAACTGTACAATTATCAAATAAAATGTGTTATTTATGTTTATTTTATTATTTATTACCATAAACACAAATCTGTTACAAAAACTTGACATTCCGATGTTAGAAATAAAATAGCATACAGATACGTACTTGCAGACTTCACATTGTGCCATTGGCAAAGTATGAAATCTCAAATAATGATAAGATACCGCCGCCCAAAAAAAATTAACTTAAAACATGTTTCAGTAGTGGAATTTTTGCACAGAAATTTTCTGATGAGAGTATTATGGTAATAAAAAGGTTATGAGCATTTACTAAAATCCACCAAATGAGGCAGGTTATTTCTTCCTAAATAACTCCAACAAAAGCATTACACTAAATGTGTGATCTTCAGGAGATCTGTTAGTTTTGATCCTGTTTAATAAATTTACTGCAAGATCTAAGTAGCACCAATCTTACAAAACACAATTCACGTACAAAGAACATGGTTGGCACTGGTTCCAAGAAATACAAAATTCATACCATTTAAAAAAAAGGTACACTGTTTGATATGTAGTATATTTTTACTATATACTGGAGCTCATATCAGCACTATTGAAGGTATGTGAGGTGTAATAAAAAGGGATTTTTGAAAGAAATGCCACCGACAGTCTGGATGATATTTTTGATTTTTACTTTCGTAAATTTATGTGTCGACGGCAGTATACAGATTCTAGTTCAGATAATTTTAAACAGTTTTTGAATGCTGTTAAGGAATTCTGTGTGCCACACACGGAGGACACAGAAATTTCTAAATAAGTAAGTCAATACTTCCTTTTTGTACTGCACGGATTAGATAACACATATTTCCATTTTCATGTTATTTTCTTGTTTTATTTTGATTTAAAAAGCAGTTTATTGAGATTATAATTTTTTATGATTTAATTATGTTTTATTGCATTATGTTTTGGATGCTATTTTAATTGGGAAGGCATTGCACATAAACAAGAATGGTGCCAAAAAATTCGCCAATGGGTACCCTGAAATATATTTTCCCAATCAATCTATTAAGGAAACACTATGTGATCTGCACACTGATAGAAGAAAAGCCAGCACTATAGCAATTAAAAAAAAAAAAAAAAAAAAAAAAAAAAAAAAAAAAAAAACAATTGAAAGCATTTTCAAAGAACAGAAAAAATAAACTATTTATTTTCTCATACAACAACCAAACTCGGAACATATTGACCATGTTTCTTTCTCTACAGGCCTTGCTAAAGTCGTAGCTTCTACCATAATTTCTCATTTGACTACATGCGAGATTTCTCTTGAAGAACTTGACGTGATAAGGAGCAACAGAAGTGTAATTAATACTGGTTTGAAAAATGGTGTTATCCACCAGATTGAATTGCAGTTTGGGAGACCACTGAAGTGGGCTATAGGTCTTCTATACTTCAATGAACTGCAGTTTTGTAACCTATTTCATCACTTGGATGATGTTACCATAGGGCCCAAATCTTTCAGTGGTCCGATCAGAAAAAATCTTGCTTATTGTGGAAAACTTCCACTGGTTTGCTTTGAATGTGTTCTCTATTCTTCAAGTTGACAGAAAATTGTTGAGCGAGGATTAATTACACTTACTTGAAATTTTTACTGGCATAAAGTCGGATACAATTTTACAAGATTTAATAGTTCACGATCCTGGTCCGCTTTTACATTCCAGCTGATAGCAAATCAAGTTCTCATACTCTAAAAGTGAGCTTAGTAGAATATACTGATGAAATTAGGCAGCTGATGCATTTTATTTCAAAATACAGTCAAAAGTCTTTAATCCAGACTCGTCAGGACTTCGGCGATTCCGGATTATCGGTTTTCCAGATTATAGATCATCAGTTTAAATCTGGTAAGATGGCATGCAGAAATTATGAAATTAAAAATATAAAACCATAATTTATGAAATAAAGAGCAATTATGATCTAAAAGGTTACAAAATTAAAAAAAAAAAAAAAAAAAAAAAAAAAAAAAAAGCTTAATATTTATTTGTTTACTTTAATAAACATTTCTTTCAACACGTGCATGCATAAAGCATACATTACGCATAGTCGAAATTATAAAATTGCAACCAGAAAACTATTTGATGAGTATTCGTGATATTTATAACAACGAAGAATTTTATTTAAATCATATGAAAAAGAGTACATCGAGATGAAATACTACATTTAGTAAGGAATTATAAGCCGAATAAAATAAAAACATCTGCCCTGAAATAAGGATAGTGCTGACAGATGAACTTCCAGTTCATTGCGCGCCGCGACGCCCCCCCCCCCCGCCAGAGCAGCGTGAAATTGATAAACAGATTTCGGAATGGTTAGAGAAACAAAGCATATGCCTTTATCCAATTTTTGCAGCAATTCCACTTTTTGTTTGATGGACATCGAAACATGCTTCGCTTTGTAGATCCTTTGGCAGCTCCAGAATTGGAAATTCTTTTTGACATAATCGAAAGTTCAAGCTTACTTTTATAAAATTGCTCTAACAGTCTGCAAAAAATAATAAGCCAGATCTAATTAGAAGATTAAGGAACAATGCAATCTGCAGCATTAACTGAAACAGATAATTAGATAATTTTAGCTTAGCTTATACCATCCATTATACATTAAACGTGCATGCGTATATGTATTATGCGCATGTGTAAAGGTATTATGCGCATGTGTTTACGCATGCGCAGAAAGTTTGTAGCTCTAAGGTCCGGATTAAAGACTTTTGACTGTATTAGATGCTCTTCTGGTTCAAAATTGAAACCAGCAAAAATTTCACAGATGATCTAGACACTTTCTGAAGGCATCAGAACATCACAATATCTAACTCAAAATTTACAGCAAATCATCAACCCAGTAATTCAGTGGAATGCTTTCTTTGCTGATCTGAAAATTTGATCTTTGCAATTAATGTACATGAAAGATGACATACCAGAGAACTAAGGCTGTGCTGATTGTTGAAAGCTCAATCACTTTCCAAGGGAAGGCTATTTGAAGCTTCATTACATCAAAACTCACTCAAAGCAATGGACTATGTCAACATGAATTGGTAGCATAATTGCAATACCTCTCCTCATCTACTATTAAGGAGCACTACAAATAAAGACTGGTACATCACTGTAACTGGATATTCAAAGCATGATAAAGAAATGGTAATTTTTCTGTATCACTTTGCTAAAATGATGATATGCCAATCTCAATTAAATTTAGAAAAGTACTGAAAATTCTAAGAAAAATTCTTTAACTCAGAAATACTGATTTAAAAAAATAAAAAAAAATTTCATCAAGTATACAATTATAAAAAATTTTTAAAAAATTTTTTATAAAAATATTTGGTACTTTTTCTGTTTTGCCGGCGCAAGCGATAAAGTCGCCAATAAATGGTACAACCGATGCCAAACGGAATATTCTCGCTGGTAACCTTTTACGCCTCATTTTCAAAACAAGTCGCAGCTTTTTCTTATCAATTGATTGTTTCTTTCACTCATATACTAGCATATAATTTACATAGAATTTTTATCAGATAGTACAGTTTTATGTCTAAGGCCATTTTCGGTAATTAAGTCAATTAGGATGCAATCACAGCACTTACCCGAAGCCGAAAATATAGAAAAGGTAAAGTCAAGGGTTAAATTCATCCATTCTAATGAGAATGCATTAGCAAAGTAAAGCACTGTGGTTTTACATAATTTCTGAGTAAGCTATTCGTACGAAATGAAATATTTCTTGCATTTAACCTTGTGTATCAAATAAAGATTGAACTTGAAATTAATGTAGATAATTACTGAGAGCATTATATTTTTGTAGAGTAGTTTGCTTGAGATGAGATCGCTTGGGGTCACGTGATATGAACTGGCGAATCAGGATGTTGAACCATGAAAGCATAGCAAATTCTTAAATTAATGTCTTTTTACAAATTTATTGTCTTTATTTATTGGCTTTTTATAAAATTTTTAAACGATATTAAAATGTTTATGCCTTCAAAATAAAAAACTTGGAACTAAAATTTTTTAAATATTTTTTATGTGTATACTATATGTTGTCGCCAATAAAGTCTGCTTGGCGCGAGATTTGCGCCTGCGAAACGGAAAAGTACCAAATATTTTATAACAAATTTTATAACTTTATAAAATATAATTTTATAAAGTTATAAAAATTTTATAAATGAATTTCAAAATTACATAACTATTTCAATTTTAGCATTAATTTTGAATTATTACTTAAGGCTTAATTACTGAATTAGAAGTTAATTATTATTCCCCTTGAAAAATTTAAAACTGATAGAAAGATTTGCAATACATAAATCACCATCTCTTAAATTCAGCCACTTAATAAAAAGAAATATGTTCAGAAAGGAAGTGATTTTAATAATTGGTGCATGCCAAATTTACCTAATCCAGTTTTGAAGATAATTATGTGAATAATGAGAACAAAGATAACAGAAAAACACGTTATTGAAATATCTGTATATATTTATTCACAATAAAAGAATTAAATATACCTTTTGATATATATATATGAAAACGTAGCTCCTGACTCTATATGCCTTGTATACAAACTTAAGGGAGATGTGCACTTGCCACAACTCTGCATACGCTCTGTCCATGCTCATATTTTGATTTGGAAGCACTACTGGGTGGCAAGGTACACTCTGAGTTTATAGATAAACTGATGTCAATTTTCTCGTCTTTGTTTGGTATTTTATTTGATGTTCGGTTATTTTGTAACATGCCATTAGAAGAAATTAATACATAGGGGAAAGTGCAGAATCGCCCACTGCTTGGCACTTTTAAGAATTGCACTAACTCAGTATCCATGTGTACATCGACCTATTTTCACTTAAAAAAGCATCCCATAATTGCACAAAAATGGCATTGTGCACTCCCTTGACTTTATGCATTTACACATCGACCTATTTTCACCTAAAAACCCAAAGAAAATTGACAAAAAATCCCATTCTTCTTACTCTTGCAAAAAGTGACAAACAAATGTCAAATAAAGAAGTGGGCGATTCTGCTCTCTAGCTGAATATATATATGAAAACTATGTATAAAAAATATCTAAATAAATTGATTCAGACTTACCTCTATCTTCATGCTCATCATTTTTAATAAAATTTACTACATCCTCTTTCCATCTGCACTCAGGGTCTTTCCACAGCCAAACATTCAAATCAATTTTTTCAGGCATACTAAAAATATTTCACTATGCGTTAAGAATGTGAAAAAGGCTATTGATTATGTTATCTTTTGAAATAAAAGTCATTAACCTGAACAATTTACGTATGCAAAGATTTTTCTCAAATATGGAACATAACAATAAATAAATATAGCATGCCATTAAGATTTTAGTGAAGATAAGTTTTTATATTATGGAAAATTTTAAAAATTATTATAAGGAGGTATTTAACGGAAAAATATGTATTTAGTTTTATCGCAAAACTTATTCTCTATACTTTTCGTAAATAAAAATTTAAAGTTTATGTCAGTAAGATATAATAAATATCTGCATACTTTATGAATGACATTCATCTATGTTTTTTTCTATACAACATTATTGATAAAAATGGGGAAAAGTATCCTTTAACGAGTCGAATTTTATTCGCAATCTAGAAAAGTTTTTCATAAATACTGTTCAACAAACCGTATCAAAAAAAAAAAAAAAAAAATTGGAAGCTATTTTTGCTCACCTAAATAGCTAACAACTTAAACACTATTGTGAGATGTGATACTAAAACTTTTATGAAAGTGAATTACTCACCTACGATTACTTACTTTTAGACAGGCCTTTGTGATCTGTTTAATAAAATTTGTTTACTTTCGAAACAAGAATTAAGGCGCGAAAATTCAACTCTAAAAAAAGTAGTAGTTGTTTTCAAAATAATATATTCGCTTCGTATTCGGAAAACATTTCGGTGGCTAGCAACCATTCGGCCCTTCTAAAAGGTATAGGCAACCATGGAGATTAGAATATTCTAAAAATATGCTAACCTCCATGTAGACGATATTTTATTATGCTGTTATATTTTAGTTCTCTATGTAGGATAATAGCAAGGCCTACAGAAGATAGATCTTGGGATAATTGGAGTGCATCTCCGGGATACTCGGATTCGGAGAGCAATCCGCATCGGAAAGAAACATGCCCGAGGGCGTCAGCAATAAGTGATTCTTAAAAGGTATTAAGATGAGATTTCGAAGATTTTATAATCACACAACAGCGCATTTCAAATCTTCCGTATCATAAAAAGGCAAACTCTCGAGCTCTGACCAGATCTTGTAATAGGCACAATTACAGGAAATATAACTGGTTTAAGAAATGCAAAAGGTCAGCATAAAACTTCAGCGCCACATTCCTCATCAGAATGCAATAGGCATTTAGCATTTAAAATATGCTTTTAACTATTTTTGAAGATCGAGGACACTGGCGTTATTCAAAAGTAAGTTCGTGTCCACGCCAGAAAGGAGAATCCATCCTCTTTTGGACTTGCGACCAAAAGAGTCTTTAACTGAAAGCGAGAGATTTAATCACAAGGCGAACTCAGCCAGTATAAGCACTATGAAATATAATTTACAGATGGATAATAAATATTTCTTGTAATATTTGAAGCATGTTGTTGTTTTACACTTGGAATAATGCAGATTTGAAAATAGAAATACACAACACAAATCACTAAGTTCAAAACCTGCTTAATTAGGTATTATGTCTGTAACCCGCTTTTCCGTGTGACAACACACATAAACTTGAAAAACACATTTGAAAATGATGATAATGAATGAATACATGAAGAACAAAGTGTGTGTAAAAATTGGAAGAAACCGAGTCCATAACAGGTTGTAAACAAATATACACAGAAGAAAGATGATTCGTCCGTGTCAATCACATAGTTGGACGCCTACCCAAGTGCTGACTACTGCAATGTTGCTGGAAAATGAGCCTGAATTTGAAGAATTTATGATGGCAGTGTGATTTACTATTCTACATCTTTGGCAGTTACGACACTGTTAAGTCCTGGCATTGGTTTAAATTGTTCAACGAATACAGCAAGTCCGGTGAGATGGGTTAAATTAAATATTTGTTTGCCCTTATTCACTTCGAGTTACTTCCACTGAGTTACTTCACTACGAGTTACGTCCACTACTAAGAATAGTGGTAAAGTTTTAATTTCGTCATCTATTTCCCTAGTAACTTGTTTTAATGATTTAACAGGTATATCTTTTTTTAATACGGCTTCTTCAATTTCAGCAACTTGAGTGCGAATTGAGAGTTTCTTGATTACTGCACGAATAGGTTCATTTTGTGCTAGAGGGAAGGTATGGTAAGAGCGTTAACGCTCATCTAGCAGAGCACTAATTTTACGATAGTCATCATGAGTAAAAACTTTGGTGTGGAGTTCTACACGTTCAAATTTCCTTCAACGTTTTCTACTCCATGCTTACGTATATCATCTTTGATCGGTGTCCAGTGATCGACGTTGACGACAATTATAGTGGGAATTCTCCCTGCCTTTTTACGTGGTGTAATAAAGTCATTATTGAGATTTTTTGGGGGGCTACTAACTTCCATTTCATCGTTATCAAATAGTGTACTAAACTTATTTTGATACGTATAATCATGGTCTGAAGTTTCAATTACAGTCTATTTGTGAGTTTTTCGAGGGTTAATTCATTCTGTTCTAGTTCTGTTTTTAACTGGAGCAGTTTTAGCTGCAGATGCTTTGTGTTTTTCTGATTGGTTAATCTTAGCAGCTTCTTGATTAGCGTATTGGATGAGTTTAATGTCAATACTTTTAATGAGTTTTTGACCTCGTACAGGCAAATCTTCAGGTATGTGAGGATCAGTGTTCCTAAAAGGATTTACAATATTTAAATAAAGTCCATTCTTAATATGACGGAATTCCTCTAAATCTATAGAATCGAATTTAGCTTCAAATAACTGAAGATTTTGTCTAAAAATACCAATCCTAGCACTCAGATCCACGTCCTTTACCGTATCCATCATAAAAAATAGCAAAGAGAAGAGAATACAATATTTAACCTATCGATGAAGACTTTTCAATATCAGAAAACGTAATACTCTGCATCATCAAATTCCAGCGCATTCATAATCTACACTGCAAAATACAATCGAAAAGCGAAAGATAATCAAACAAAGAAAAGTATACAAACATGCTAAATCAAAAATTATATTAAAAATTGGGAATAAATATCATTCACAATATAGGAATGCGAAAAATTGAAGTAATTTGTGTGGTAGAATGCATTCGTACTAAAATTTCCTCGAAGACAGAGAACAATACGAACATCTTACCAATGAGTGTTGGAGAGTCCTCCAGCTCTGACATTCTACAAGCTATTGCGCGAATGATATTTAGATTTAAAAAATTCGCAAACATATTTTTTACCTCTTTGATTGTGTTAAAGAAATCAGAGAAATTCCCTGAGGTATTTTCCGAATTTTTCTGTGGTTTATGCAAACAGAAAAATTTTTCAAGCCTGTTCTGGTTTACTGTGCATTTTAGATTTTAAACTTGAAGTTTTGAATTTTAACGGTCCTTTTCGTGTGTATTAAACACACTAATGCGTGTGTATTAAACACACTGCACAGAATTTTCCTTTTGAGTTTGTTGGTTAAACTAGAAATGTTGAGTTTCTTTAATTCAATAAGTACGAACGTTTGTAAATTTTTCAATTTTTTTTCCTCTTTATTTTTGAAATTTCTTACGAATTGCCTGTCGTCAAGTTATCTAAGTTTTCAAGAAGGAAAAATCCTTTAAAGAATTTTTAAGTTAAGGATTTTTGCAGATCTCTGAATTAACTGACGGCTGAAGTGTACAGTCACATGACCTTTAAAAATCGGTATGTGAAATTACCAGAAGAGAAAACCGAATGCAGAACCAGCAAGCTTCTGCAAGCCGTTTAGTAGATTACACATTGTGTCGTTTCGAAAAATTAGTTTTCATTTGCTTTTTAATTCCCGATTCGCATTCTAAAGTTTTCATTTATTGAATTAATTTAATTACCTAAATTAAAGATACTAGTAAATGTTGATTTATTAACAACTTCTTTGTTTCAAATTATCTGGGTGAGAATTACACATTCTCACTTTTTAGCTAATGTTATGGAGGGTCAATATTATATGTTATGGAGGGTCAATATTAAATGTATATTACGAAAAATGAATAAAAATTTCTTATACAGTTTTTAAATCTGTCTTGAATCACGAGGTAACACAGTCTTCTGAATTAGTGAAAAATTAAACATAACCCAAAACAGATTTTACTTTTCTTTTGAAGAACTCGATATATTAACTGCCTCGTTTTTAATATATTTTAAACACTATCAGAAAATTATTTAAAAACTTAAAATATTACACATTATAAGAGAATAATTCTGAAGTATAATTTCGTTTATTTTCACTTTTGTAACTTGAAAAAAATATTTGTATTTCTGAAACAATTTCACATGAATTTTATTTTTTAATTGATTTCACATTACGACTGAACTTGCGCAGAATTATAAGCACATACTTTCTAACACTGCAGTAAGACATCGAAAGCAAGTAAACACAAGAAACTTTAAAGAACATTAGAAAAGAATTATCATCGTTAAACAGAAATAGTAACAAAAATGAATTTTTTTTTTTTTTCTTATACGTTAATAATAACAAATCGCCAACTATGGCAACCTGAAGACAAGTTGGGTCATAAACATTTTACACTTTCGGCGTCACAATATACATATCTACCAGATTCGTCACTTAATTAGTGTCTAAGTTTGCGCATAAAGGTTAGTAGAAAGAACTGCTAACTTCCAGAAAGCGCGCCCGGCATGGTTCAGGATTTATTTGCTCACCTTTTTTTTTATTGTTGTTGTTATTTTTTGATTTCATTTGTGCAGACTGCAAACTCCCTGAAATAATGATAGATTGCGTTGAAGATCCTTCTTCAAAACCACCGGATGCAAACACTGATTATATCTACAATACAGCATTATTACCAAAGGCTTACAAGACAATCGGGAATGCAAGAAACTTCAAGGCGCTAGCGGCCGATGCTGCTTAGCCTTGTTATCTGATATCGACGGTTTGAAAATGGAATGAAATATCAGACATAACTGTAGGATTCTAACAACATAATGCAATAAGTTCCTAGAAAGAAAAAAATTAATACCATTTCATAAATAAACAAATAAGCTAATGGTGAGCTTATTAAACTCATCAGCTGACTCCGTCTTCCTTCGCTCGACACAGTTAATAATTTGTTGGATATAATTCCTCATTTCACTGCATAAAAACAGGAAATTTTATCTCTTCCAACCGGACGATTTCATAACGATGCCCCGTAATAAAGACGCTAGCACCTTCATTCCAGTTGCTAAACAGAGACTTTTATATGAATATCCTTGCATCTTGATGAGGATTGTTTTCTTTAAGTTATAAACTGAACTTTATAAAAAGAGTGCTGGGCACCCTTTCTTTTTCGTGAACAATGGCCAGTTAAAGGTGTCGCCTTTATGCATTTAGGATAAGTGCCGGCCAGACTAACCCATCTGCCCTTGATCCTTACCGTCATCAATTATATGTGAGGATTATGACCACGAACATATTGGCATACATACTGATGAAAAGTAAAGAAAAATATTAAGTCATAAGGAAATTAGACTTGCCTTTGTCTCTATAGTCAAGGCGTTAGTCACAAATGGACGTCTAGAAGAGCGGTTTGCTCGTCACACTTGAATCTAGGTTACCTCACTCTAAACCTACACTTATCAAATACAAAAAGCTGAAGGGGCACGACTCGTTAATGAACTCCAAGCCCAGACGGAAAATTGAATTGAAATATACAAAAAATGAGAGAATACGAAATAAAAATCAGTGCGCTCGTCGAAGATCAACAGGTCCT